TTATATTTAATAAAAAGATTGAAGCTTTGCTATATTCAATAAAAAGATTGAAGCTCTGTTATTTTATAAGATTCTTATCAAAAAAACAAAGCCCCTATATAGTATTATATAAAAGGAAAAGCTTAGCTAGCCATTCCGTAAACTCAAGTATTTATTGATTGAAACTGATTGTAAATAGTTAATATTATATCGAATAGCTTGTATATTAGTTAAAAACAAAACAATGTTTTACTAGAATCGCCTTACCCTAATAAGTAAGCGCAGGTCGAGTAGTTTGTGTATGAATCAAAGATACATTGAATAGCTTATATTCAGTTAAAAACAAAACAGTGTTTTACTAGAATTGCTTTACCTTAATAAATAGATATAAATAAACATAAATAAATTATTTTGGATTTTGTGAATCTCGAATTCATTGATAAAGACTGATTGCAAATAGTCGAAACCCTATCGGATAGCTTGTATCTAGTTTGAAGCGAAACAGTTTTTGTTGGAATTGTTTATTTTAAAAAGGCAAACACAAAGACAGTATTTTCGATATCTTTCAGATTTCAAGAGTTCGAAAAGTTCTATCATTTTCAGATTCTTCAGATTTTGAAAATTTAATGCAAGCTAATAAAACTAATAAATTTAAAATTCTTTTAGATTTCGAGAAACTAGTGGAAAGCTAATGAAGCTCTGCTATTTTCAGGATTTTCAGGATTTTCAGGATTTTCAGGCTTTTTCAGGATTTTCGGGATTTCGAACCTTTTTCCGGATTTCCTTTAAAATTTAAAAACTCAATAAAAAACTTATAAAACTCTATTATTTTCAGGATTTTGAGGCTTTTCCAGGACTTTTGGGATATCAGGCCTTTTCCGAATGTTCCGGATTTTTATTATTTTTATAATTTTGAATACTATATAGTATCAAAAATGCTATTTATTTCTAATTTTATAAGTTTTATATATTTTCGAGGATTTGTCGGGAAATTAGCAAAACTCTATTGTTTTTAAAGAGTTTCAGGATTTTCAGATTTTAAGGGTATTAGTTTAGCTAGTTTATAGAGTTCTGTCATTTTTTCAGAATTTTTAGAATTTTTAGGAGTTTCGGGATTTTGCTATATTTTCGAGGAATTAGTGGGAAGTTAATGAAGTTTTGTTGATTTTAGGGATTTTTCAAGAGTTTCAGGATTTTCAGATTTTAAGGGTTTTCAGGATTTGGAGTGCTATTTGTCAACGAATTGCTATCGAATTCTAATCTTATATATTTTCGAAGATAAAAGGCAAAAAAGGGGAAGGCAAAACCTTATTGAATATAAATTATTATTTTATTATCAAATACGAATCATTACTCTATTGAAAGTGAATCGACTTTTTTTTCGAACTTTCGAAATTTTCAAGGTTTTTAAGGTTTTCAAGGCTTTCAAAGTTCGAATATGGATTGGATTTTATGGATTGGTTCTTAGCATTTTTATATTACAATATAACTTCTTTCAAAAACTATAAAGAAACTGAACCTTATAAAATGAGAATATAGGTATTACAATATTAGTTTATTACTATAGAAATTAATAAAACTTAAAAAAGAAATTGATATAATAATAATCGATTATCGAATAGCTTTAAAACTTTCGAGAACGAAAATTTAAAGAGGAGGGTTTTGTTATAAACATTGATATGATATGGAATCAATATCAGGCCGACTATTAGTTCGGAAGCGAAGAGTTTTCATATATATATATAGCTTCAGGAAAAAGGTTTCAAAGGAATTAATGAAAAGTCTTATTCTAGTTCTACACCTATATTATACTAGTCGTCACCTTGTATTGATTCTAACAATTAATAAGATTAAGAATAAAGAAACTAATAAAGTATTTCCCAAATTTCGATTGATTATATAAGTATAAAAAGATTAAGGAAAAAATATTGTTTTAATACAATTGTCTATAATATAATATGTTAGCTAGTATATTATACTAATAATAATAGCTATACTATTTAAAAACAAGATAACTATAAGTATTTGTAATATTATACAAGTATATATATAATCAATATTGAATTTAATTCGGAAGTTTTATACTCAATTACCATCGGAAATAAATATTCTAAAAGACTTTATCTTACAAGTTGTACAATCATTATATAGTATTCTGAAAGCAGGAAATTATTAGTTTAGTATTTATTATAAGTATTATACCAATATTTTCAAGATAATATAATTGATTTATAATCCATATTTATTGTATATAATTAAAGATAATATAGTATTTAGTATTATTGGATTATAAATAAATAATATATTCATTATAACTAATAAAGTATTTATAGATTATAAACAAACTGAACTTAAAAACATTAAATTCACAACAAAAGAGTATGAGATACTTATATTAGATATACCATTCAAGTTTAATAATAGCCTAATCACTCAGTAGAATAATAACACAATCTATCTTAATTAAAAGAAATAATACGAAAACCTTTATCTAATCAAATCAGAACTATTTGATATATAAGGTATACACAGTAAGTTCAGAAAGTCAGCAACAATAAAAGATTAGTATATTGTACAATACACTTGAGAAGTATATGTAATAACTATATATCAATTAAAGGCAGCTTTCGATTTGTTATATACTATATAAACAATTAATCTAAAAAAAGAAAATACTAATACTCTCAATAAACACATCCAATAACAGATTGATAATTCAGAAAGAAGATTATAATTTATTCCACTTAATATAGATTCTCTCAAATTGATTATATTTACAAATGTGTCCTTTACTAATAATAAAGATTTGTTCTTTTAGATTAAATATATTATCATTTTAATAGATAAATTCGATGAAGCTAATATTATTTATTGATTATTAATTAAATGCAAAAGAATTACTAAAAGCATATTAATATCAAAACTCTACAATATAGTTTTGGATTTTAATATTAATACAATAATCAAAGATATTCTTGACAAGATCTTTCCAAATTGTAAAATACTATTAGTTATATGTATCGATTCAAGGTTATTATATAACTGTTTTATAAAACTTAGTATAATTATCGAAAAGAGATTAATGATTGATATAATAGCGATTCGAGAGGTATACAAGAAATGAGAGATTATAGAAATCAAATGGATTGATAAAAAATCTAATCTTATAAATGCAATAATTAAATTTAAGCTGTGTTAAGCCCTAAAGGATTTGATTGATAATAATACCATAAAGATTAAGGTTATGGAATGGATTGAAAGAGATTAGTAGTATAGATGATTATACTGAAAAAGGGATATTAACTAGAAAAGATACGATACAATGACTTTAAAAGAGTTGCCAGTATTGGGACAGGGATTATATAACCACGCTAGTATATACGCTAGCGCCTTTGTACTATAGTATATACATTCGTAGCCTTTAGCTTTTAGAACCTTAAGCAATATTACAATAGTATGAATCATTAATACTATATTACTTCACCATCCCCATGGTGATACCAACAATATATAAATTTCCTTTTGTAGCAGAAAAAGTCGAGTATAAATAATATAAGATTATATAAATATATAAATATATAAATATATAAATAAATGAATAAATGAATAAATGAATAAATGAATAAATGAATAAATGAATAAATGAATAAATGAATAAATGAATAAATGAATAAATGAATAAATGAATAAATGAATAAATGAATAAATGAATAAATGAATAAATGAATAAATAAATAAATAAATAAATGAATAAATGAATAAATATATTATAAAAATGAAATATAATACGAGATTATTTATCTCTTTATTCCTCTATCTATTTTTAATATAATAATATATTATAAAATAAGAATTATATATTTATATTATATATATATTTATACTTGTATTTTTTATACTTGAGTTTTGAGTCTTAAGTCTTAATTATCTTAATTTAATACTATACGATTTGATTTGATACTATACGATTTAATACTAAACTACTAATAATAAAAGAAATAATACCTAGCTGGGTATAATAGTTGTAGTATGATATAGTATCTTCCTCTCGCACCCATAACTCTCTCTCTTACTCTCTTACTCTCTCTCTCTCGCTTGAATGAATAGCTTCAAGTATATATGTACCTAGTATATAGGTATCTATATATAAATATTTTCCACTACTCAAACCTTCTTATCTTTTCTCGCATCTTTTCTCGCCTGATTTTTACATATACTATATACTACATGCTATATACTACATGCTATATACTATATGCTATATACTACATGCTATATACTACATGCTATATACTATATACTATATACTACATGCTATATACTATATGCTATATACTACATACGACTAATTAGTAGTTTATAATTATTAGTTAGTCGATACGTAACATATAATATATATAAGTAAGTAATATATATCAGAGGATAATTGCTGCCCTTTCCCCTACTCTCCCTCTCCCCTCCTCTCTATTTCTTCAACCCATGCCCACACGCACACTATACACTTTGCATTTCACACTTTACATCATATCCACACTAACCAAAGAATATCCAAAAACATAATCTTCAAAACACAATCTTCAAAAATCATCTCAAAATGTCAAATTCTCATATCACTAGTGAGTGACCTATCTATCTAAACCATTTCTTTTGAGAGAAGAAGAAGAAGAAGAAGAAAAAAAAGAGGAAACCCCTTAAGAGCACAAAAAAACAAAACCATCCGCCCAAAATTCATAATAGGTATCAATCATCAATTTCATTCTTAATCTTTTCTCTTCTCTTCTCTCTCTTCTCTCTCTTCTCTCTCATTCTTTCACACTGTCATCTCATCTCATCTCATCAATCTTTCTTTTCTTTTCTTCCCTTTTCCCCTCAAACATCTCAAATATCTCCCCATTCTCCTCTCTCAAACTACCATACGAATCTCCATCAATCCATCATTCCCCCTTTAAAACCCCTCAAAAACATCTCCCCTTTCCCTTCCCTTTCCATTTCCCTTCCCTCCAAACCCCAAACAAAAACCCACAAACCCAGCTGCGTAAAGAGAAACACCTCATAAACTGCACTTCACAGCTACCACATCATCGCAAATGCAATGAAAAGTAGTAGCTGTAAGCCCACGCGTAAAAGAGAGAAAAAAAAGTAAGAAGTCGAAATGTAAAAAAGGGGGGTATGCATCCATTCCATTCCATTCCATCCATGCCTGCCAATCCGACAATAGAGTAAAGTACTTGAACATAAAAAGAAAAAAGCCCTGATTCGTGAAAACTTGTTGTAAAAGGTGTAAGGAAATAAAGCTATGTCTGAAACATGCCACACAATGATTGATTGTGTTCGAAACCGAATATCGAAGTGGTAAAGTGGTGGAAGAAGATCAAATAATCAGTTTTGTTGTGTCCTTTCTGACCGGAGATTGTAAAATTGGTGCTGCTTCCCATACTCCGCAAACATAAAGCGATTGTGAAGTGATTGTATCAAGATATGTTTGTTCACCACCCAAAGGTAAGACATATGTCTCAAATAACCCCTCCAGAAAATCAGCGTCTCGCCAGACCCTCCCTTTCCTTGAGGCGACTAGTTCTCCATCCCTCATACCAAAGTTCCCTACTCGCCTCCCTCAATTCACCTCTCCACTCTGCAAATATTGCTTCCTTCAAACGTACAAAATCACAATGTTCAACATTCATCGGATCCGCAAAACCCCATGGGAATTTACGGCCAATAACATCGGGTTCATACAAATCAGGGCTGATGATTGAGAGAGGTAAATAAGGAATCTCGCTGATTTCCGATTCACGTTTATGGCGACGAATGGAGCCCGAGGAAAGACGCTTGGAATTGGGAGAACCACCCGAAGAAGCTGAACCATTCTCAGAAGTAGCATATTCATCTCTTTCATCGAGGCGGCTTTGACTGTGGCCGATAATTGGGCTTTCGGGTTCATCGTCTAGTCCGAGTGCTTCAAGTGGGTCGAGATTAGCCTTACGCAGACTATCCCAAACCGTCTTCTTCAAATACGTCATGTGGGCCGTTGTAATAGTGTCGGCTTTTGAGATGACCGGAATCACAGTAGTTTTTCCTTGCAATGTACGAAGGACTTGTAAATCAAGATCTTCATCCAGACTACCAAACAAACGAGGGCCTGTACCAAATACTCCAAAATGTCCATTTCCATTTGAGATGACATTCTTTGAATCTTCAATATTTTGGTCCAGGCGTGTGGGGTCGAGAATGAGGAATACAGCATGGATGTGTGTATCTTGCACACCTGGAGCTCTCATAACCTTCATTTCTTCCGTGAAAGTTTCTTCGAATTTGCTTTCGAGAAATGAAGACATGTCTCGAAGTTGAAGATCCACGACATTTTTATCCAAGCCTTCTGAATCCCACAAGGTTACACCGATTCGCTCACCCTCGATTTCCGATTCGATATAATGCGAGACGAATTTTCCCGACTTGGGGGTACGTGGAGCAAATATATCTTCGGCCAATGGTTCGGGCTTCGATCTCTTCTTGGGAGGCATAGCGAGGGAGGTTTTGAGAAAATTAAGGAAAGATGTCTTGCCTGCACCGCGTGCGCCGATGATGAGAACGCTGCAGAGCCATTAATAAAAGTCAAGAAAGAAGGTCATGGTAAAAACTTACTTGAATGGAGTAGGATCTTTGCGTCTTCGCACTCTGCGAGGACTATTAATTGTGCTCACGGCACTGCTTGCATAGCTGTATCTTCCACGATGTGTCATACTCTCTGATCTAGCATAAGGATCAACCCAACCGCCATTCCGCGCACCCGAAGGAACGGGAGGCACTGGCACACTGAGTGTGCTACTCATTGTGTAAGATCTGGATTGAGGATCCATTGAAGCACTTCTCGCACCTTGACCACTATTTCCAGACGTCGCCGAACCCGGTCTATCTTCACCACCGAACGAGGGAAAGTGTGTAGGGACAGCAAGGTCGGGAAGACGAGGTGGGGATCTGGGGATCGCAGCTGCTTCGCGAAGGAGTCTTTCACGCTCTTGCTCTTGCAATTGAGCAAGATCCTTCTTATGCTTGGAGTTTAAATTTCCGGACTTGGACCGACGAAGTAATAAACCACCAAGACTGGTGCGACGAGGGGGGTTGGCGTTATTATTATGCTTTCCGTTCTCTGGAATTCCTGCTAATCTCTCGGCGCCATGTGATGGTGACGTTCCAGGAGTTCGTGGTCGGATTGAAGAAACCATCGTGGAGGTTCGATTTATTGGGAACAATAGTGTTTGTCGCAGAATTGACAGGGAAGGCTTGATTTGATTCAATTCGTATTGTATGGTGAATAGACTTTTAATTGAATTGAAATTTGAAAAAGAGGGTGAATGAATGGATATCTCCTTTGGAATTAAATTTCCCTGTAGGCCTTGCTAATCATTAATAAAATGGAATATGGAGAAGGACAAGGTTTGGAGGAAGATGGCGAAAAAGCTGAGGAAGACGGAAGAGAGAGTGAGTGAGTGTCGGGCTGGAAAATAAAATATAGAAAATAAAGAGTTCGGCAGTGAGATTGGTGAATTGAGATTGCGAATTACTTTTTTGAATGAATTATGATGTGAATTACTTCGCTACTCAAATTGTTTTGTTTCTTGAGTCGTAGACCAGAGGTTCTTCTTAACTTATAACTTATAAGACGAACTACGACGGCTTCTTTTCCTTTTTGTATTTCCATCTAAAATGGGGATTTAAAGCACACGACTGTATTGCATGAATTTTGGATATATCGAGAGATGAAGAAGAGGTATACGGCTTGAATCAATTGATTTGCAAATAAAAGAAAAAAGAATCAATGTCAACATACCAATACCCGTCCGGCAATGATATCAAATGGATCCAACGTGCTCCAATTTTGATATGGGAGATCCTTGGTAAGGCTGTAACGGTCCCAACTTTTCCATGCAATGCTAGTCGCTAGCTTCGTCTCTGGCGGTTTAGTTTCTCTTTGCTCCTGCCCTTCTGGCTGAAATGAATGAAGGGGTAGGCAGTGCTAGACGGGGAGATGCTTGAGTCGAGAACTAATGTATGAGAAAGATGTTTGGATCCAAAATTAGGAGAAAATGAATATGGAGATTGATGCGTAGGATATTGACGAAGGATTGTCGACGTCGATGTGGCGAGATGTGGTTAGATGAACTGCGTCGATGCAATCATGGAGACCAGTGACGAATGGAGATTGGAGATTGGAGATTGGATATTAGATTTAATTGATAGAAGGAGGTATTAATACATGATAGTATGCGAGGAGGTCTAGGTCGGTAGGTAGATTGGTCGTCGACGATGTCTAGAATAGAAGTCACAAAATAGTACGTAGTATAATCGTATTGTTGAAGATATTCAGACCAAAGATACAAAAGTACAAGAGAAAGAAGACGATACTAGATAGATCAATAGGTGGTAGGTAACATACATTAGCTACTCAATCATCACCTCTTATTATCGTTCTTCCATCCATCTAGACATTCTTCATGTATCATATGCACCATTGATCACTTCTTCCCTCCCCTCCCCCTTCCCACCCACAATTCCACAGCGATCATTTCTCCAAATCCCCTCTATCCTCCGACCCATCACAAAACCCGTCCGTCCATGCCTCATCCCGTACCACAATACACAATCGGTACACAGCATCACCATTCGCCATTCACCATTCTCCATTCACCACCCATTCATTCTCCCTCCTCCGTAACGAATTTCAGGGGCTCCCAAACCAATCTACGTACCTACCTAAGTAAAAGCCAGCCACAAACAAACCAATCACATACAATTTCTCCCTCATACATCATACATACAATACAATACAACAAAACCAATGATACATATATACATACATATATACATACATACATACATACATACATACATACACACATACCCACACACATACATATACACACACAATCCACCAAGAAATAATCTCCCCAACAAGGAATCCCCCGACATCTCTGAATGATCGGAAAGTTTTCAGAACCCTTACGTAGACAGCCTTGGATTGGACCAGACGCGATGTTTGAGCCATCCATCGCACGCAGGGGTGCGGACGGGGTTAGGGTCAGGAACCAAAAACATGGGTGGCATGGTGGTGGATTTTGAGTTTCCGACGTGGAGATGTTTCATCTTGAATAAAAGGTTACCTACGGAGTAGTATTCTGTACCGAGTACTACGAGGACTACGAAGGAAGGATAGACTTTTTCTTCTTCACTTCTTCGTATTCTTGCAATAAGTTATTACAGTGTAAGTTTTGACTATATATTAACTATTAACCAACACCCACCACGTAATTCATATATAGGTATTAGATACGTATATTATACCCAGACTCGAGCCAGATACCTACTACGGAGTAGATCTAAAATACACAACATCAATCAATCAATCAATCCGTAACATCTTTCATATATTTAATTTACATCTCAATAAGATGTTCTCTTAATACTCATACTTATGCTCATTCTACCTAGGTACTTATTATACCTACCTACCTATCTCGCCTACCATAACACACCATCACAACTATATCATACCCCCTCTCCCCCTATCTCCCATCCATCTCCCATCCATTCCTCTGATTCAATACAACCATCTTCCTTTCCCCAAAGAAAACTATTTCATTTTCCATTTCTCGCTTCTCTTCGCCCTCCCTCACACTCTTACACCTCTTACACCTCTTACGCCCAGTTCATCAATTCATCAACCACAAACCACAAACCCTCAACCACAATCCCTCAAACCCACCCATCAAAAACCCAAAACCCAATTCATCATCACATTTCATCAAATCCACCTGTACTCCAACCATTCATCAATCAATCAACCCACCAATCTAACCCACCAATCCACCCCCTCAAACCCTCACCCTCACCCATACCCAAACCCAAACCCTCACCCACCTGGGCAATCTCACCACAATGCCATAAAAAACAACCGCATAACACCATCCATCCATCCATCCATCTCCCTCCCTCTAAAGCAAATCCCTTGGATTAAACTTCTCACTCTACTACACAACATACACATATACATACACAACATACATATACATAGACTACCTAGTAATCTCTCTTATAAATCCTCCACTACCTACCTGGGTAGATATCTATCTAGTAATTTCTTCATACATACATACATACATATATATACATATACATACATACACACATGCCGCTAACGACGCACATTGCTCCGAGCACCCTATCACATTATCTATCTATCACTTAGTACCTACCTACCTACCTAGTACCTACCTATCTACTTATACTTGTACTTGTAAGACTTACTTGTATCACACAATCCCAATGGGGAAAAAGACAACAAGTACATCATCAAAAATCAAATCCATTCATTCACGTGAGAGTACACAATTTAGAATCAAAAACACCCGTGGGCATTTCCACTACACATATTTCTATCAATATTCATATTCATTCACATTGATATTCATATAATTTCTTAAATATCTCAAGGTCCTTTTAATTGTTCCCTACTAGCTAAAATACTAGCTAAAATATTCACGCATCTTTTGTCCGTGTCTGTAGAACATATAGCCATCTCACCCACGATAATGTGTGACACCCTTTCAGTCCCCCCCTCAACCTCACGTTCTACACTCCCTAGTCATATTAACTGCTGTGCACCAGAGTTCCATTTCATTTAATCACCATTTTTGACCAACCGCCCAAAGCCCAACGACCAGCTAGCCATACGCGGCCCAAAGTTTCCTGCCCAAATTCGCTTGAATGCAAAAGACTAACTCCTAAAGCAGAGGCCAAAATGTAAGGCTTGCTACACAAAATTGTTGTTAAACAATCGTCAAAAATGTACCACCAAGTTCCGAGCCATTCTATGAACAAAAGAACAAGGCGGTGATACTGCTTAGCCCAAAATGACTGTGCATCTCATAAAATGTATGCTTTAGAAGTTTGAAAGAACCAAAACGCCTTGGGTCGTACGACTCTATATCAACAAAGGAAAAAAAGAACAGTGGCATTATTTACGAGCCGATTTGGTGAGGTCATAAGGTAAATGAAACTGTAAAATGAGATGTGAGGGCAAGGGCCAAAAGTTTCTGGAAATAAATAATACCGAATTCAAAGAGCGCTGGCACCTGGATAGGCGGAATTTGGTATCATGCCACCACGCATGACACGAGGCGGTCCTCGACCACCACGACCTGTAGGCAAGGCGAAGTCTGGATTGTCATTCAAGAGAACATCCTCTCGTCGAGCGGCAGGTCTCCTATTCGGCATTGGAGGTCCTCCGTAACCACTAGCATCTCCGTTCCAGTTGGGATTAATCCCTCGTTGTGACACTGACGTAAAAGTAGACCTCTCAGATTCAGCTGGAGAGCGTTGCCCCGACTGAAGCTCCTCTAAAGAATTGTAAGAATTGTTGCCATCTAAGTTGCTCAACGGATTTGGATGAAGATGAGACTTAGAACCATAGTTGTTATTCGAGGAATGTGCAGCAATATTAAGGGCGGCAGGAATTGTCAGAGACGACTTTGTCGCTGGAGCTGGAGCTGGATCAGCAAAACGTGGGTCAACGTCTTCGTAATAAGTATCATTCGAGTTATCTCGTTTGTGAGTAGACTCGCTAGGAGGAAGTTCGACGACAGGTTGTGAGGCAGGGTTCAGAGGTGATGATCTACCTGCTTGCTGTCCCCATACTTGTCTTGGTGGTACGTATCTGACCGCATTAGAAACTTGGCGATCCAATGATAGAAGATCACTTACTCATCTTGGCTATACTGACTCGTCTCACTAATCAAAGTCTCATGCCTTTGCTGTATTTTTTGCTGTTGTAGGCCCACCATTCCAGCGACGTCGTCATCACTGTCTCTAAGATTGCCGAATTGCCCGACAAATCCCGGAGGTGGATGTGATGGACTGCCTGTTGTCGCATCCTAATGCCAAATTAGTATCATCAATTTTTCAAGGTGGTTTACGACTAACCATCTCAATCGCCTGTCCAACCATGCCTACATTTTCTAAACCTTCCAAAGGCGGAGGTGATTCGGCACGAGGCAAGCTACTGGGTCTTATTTCGTCTGGCCTGTATGCAATATATCCACCGGGAGGCGCCGGAGAAGCATCCCTGAATCCACCAATAGGCGCCGAAGGATCAGAAGGTCCTCGGCTGTCATAGCCGGGTGGGGGCGCTCTTCCACCGTTACCCATCGCCATCATTCCGTTGTTCATCCCTCCTCTGTACGGGCCTGGGTAACCGCCACCTCTTGGACCATACCCACCTCTCGGACCATAACCCCCTCTTGGCTGGCCATAGCCATAACCTCCACGGTTTGGGCCTGGTGGAGGGCCCCCATAACCTCCTCTGTATCCACCCCTCGGTGGTCCATAACCACCTCTTCCTGGTGGTCCTGGTGGCATTCCACCTCGCCCTCTCGAATTCATGGAAGTGTTAGAGTACTGGTGGCTCAATGCCTGTCCCGGTGGCCCAGCAGATTGGTCACGGTTTCGCATACCGTATGAATTTCCTACTTGTGGCATCATCGGCATCATCGGAATTGGGTTTCCGTATTGATCTATAGATGGGGTGCCTGATTGTGGTCCATTGTAACCGTCCATTCCCTGACTCCTAATAGATCCACCAGGGACATTAGTAGGAGAGTTTTCAGTGGTTATTGCAGTCAAAGGTATCCGTTCGTCACTTGTTCGTTCATTGTTATTCGCATCAAATGTGGCAAATGTTGGTAATTTCTCGTTGCCCGGATTTTTCGAACTGCTGGTGTCAGTGACAACCGGAGTGATTGTTTCATTTCCTTGACGGTTGTAGAAATTCTCCCCGTTCATCTCTGCGTTCTCCTCGATACGACGCTTCCTTGCTTTTCGACTAACCAATGTTCGGCGCATAGCGCATGACACAACACCACTTGCGGCGATAATGACTGTGGCGGCGAGCACAACGTATGAACCCCATGCCATGTGAGGTACGAAGAGTAGAACATCGATGAGGAATGCGAGTAGGGTGAGAATCAAAGTCAAGATGCTCAGTATGAATATTCCCAGTAGGTATCGAGGGGAATGTGAAGGTGCATGGAAGTGAGCGGCGATGGCTAGGATTAGCATGATAAGTGTGAATAGCGCAGCTACCGGGTGGATAATGAGAATAGCAGATAATGTTGATCTGGTACTTGTAGAGAGATCGAATGTAGCTGATTGAGTTTCATCGTACAGACTTTCTAAATAATTATTCAATATCAGTGCTGTGCTTGGTATGCTAAAGTACGCATTGCGCGGATGCATGTGTAGAAAGATTGTGCATTCAAGAATTGAAACTTACCAGTACTATACCCAATTTCGATATTGCTACAAGTGCTTCCTTTACAAAACCCAAAGACCCCAAACTGAACTCCATCGAAAGAGGCCAATGGTATCGACTTAATTATAGGAGTTGAAAGAATTGACACGAGCAAGCATGCGAATGCAGCGAGCAGCAAAAGCGATAACGGAGTCGCCGGTCTTAACATTTTGTTGTCCTGTGCTATGCTGATGCGTAGAAAATTGGAAATGCCAGCGTCTTTAAGACGCGGCAAATATCGAGGTGCTTTCGATCAAAGGGTGTCCAGGTGATGTTGTCGCGGAATGTACCTCAAGTCTCAAGTTCTCAATTTGTTGATTGTGATTATTATTGTTGTCGTCCTGAATTCCCCACTCCTGACTAGACATCGATAAATGGAAGATAATTTCAGAGAATTAAGTCATAAGTTGAACGATAAAGACTGGATCAATGGACGCTGTTGTTCTGTTGTTGCTGTTGTACTTTCCTCCTGACGATGGCCTTTTCTGAGAGACTAGGAGCAGGCGGGGACCAGGGCAAGAGATGGACAGTAGCCAAAATACATGTGTTTTTGTAGATTGTGATGAGAATTGACTTTGGCTTTTGGGAAAAGCAAGGCTAAAAGCGTTGATAGCCCACGCCTTCCAAGAACGGTTCCTCGTACTATGTCGTTGTAGGGTTAAAGGCTTATTAAAGCGTAGGTTAAAGGCAAACAGTGCAGTAGAAGCGTGAAGGGATATCGTGTGGAGTGGGATTCAATTGGTCTCGACTTCAGCCAAGATTGAATTCTTCCGAGATTTCAAAGGCTGTGTAAGATAAAAATCGTAATCTTGGACAAGAGTCGGAGGATGGTAGAGACAAGAGTGTAGGAATTGGTGTCTGTTTAACAAAATTCCTCGAATATTTGTGTGTACACGAAAGGATGATAGTCTGGTGGTCTTTCAATCTGTCATGTCAGTCTTTCAATATGGTGGTAATTCTCTGTCTCAATCTTATGGGCGTTTCAGATTATTATTGTCCGTCCTTTGAGGCTTTGAGGCTTGAGGGGGGAAGGGTTTGCGTCGTTCAATAAGTGTCTCGTCTTAAACTACTGAGCTACTGTACAGTCTGCACAGGATTCTGTACTCCGCAGAGGTAATGACTTATGAGCGATGGATGATTCTTCGAGCGGTACTGGACTGGGTAGGTCTTCTCGTGATAAATTGTGAATTGCTCAGCCCCGCTGATTAAAGTTGATCGTGATTATGTACCAGGTATGTATGGATGGATGGGATGGGACTTTATTCTAAAGAAGAAGGAGAACCAGAACACGACACGACATTTTCTGCTTCTCGGAAATTTACCCAAGCAGTATCATTGAGGTCGATTATGCAGTCAATAGTGAGGCGATGGCGATAAAATGGAGACGGGACGGGATGAATACGTGGGTATGGACTCTGGAGGTATGATAGATACTAGATCATATGGAGAATATGATACTAGAGGGAGGGGAGGGGAGAGGGGGAGGGAAGAAGAGAAGAGAAGAGAAGAGGACATTAATAGTAGGAATTTGTGACATTCAAAGCATGCCTGCCTACCTACCTAATTCATTCATTCGAGTATTAACTATCTACCTAGTACTTGTTAGCCGGTATGATAAACTTATGAACTCGCATGACCATAATCCTCTACACTTGGGTGAGTCTGAAGTCTGGAGCATCAGAAAGAGAACGAGAATTCAATACTCCCTTGAACATTTGAACTTGCTTGACGTCCCTGGGTTACGCTTTCTGGTCCACGGTTTCGGACGCGCTGTTCATTTTTCACTGCCATCACCTGTAACAAACTAATCACAGTGGACATTTGTTTCCAACGACATTGGGATCTTCAAACCCTTCATGCGACATCTCAAGTTATAGATCATAAGATGGAGCTATTGCTTCCATACTATGGATATGCAAATCATACAAGTTTATATTTAGTTCTGCCTTACTAGCTGTGTTTTCTTTTCTTTTCTACGATATGGTACTTGAAGTCTATCAATCACATATCGAGAGTGCTAACCACCTATCTACTTCCTAAAGTCTATCATAATCTTGGTGAATGAGTGCGTGTGGAAGTACTTGTCGATATCTATCGAGTATTCTATGTATACCAAGTACCTAGGTATGAGCAAAGTTGTCCGAGAGATACTACTTTACAACTTACAAGTCAATCGAAAAGAGGAATAATAAACATCCACCTAGAATGCCTACCAAGTAAGTATCTGATAACGCATAATCTCGAATTAATGCATCTTTGAACCTAATGTGTGACGGCATCCATTTCGGTGGAGGCATGCATTTGCTCTGATAGTGCTCAAGTATGATGAAGGAAACAGCTAATACTAATAAATGAATGCCAATAATCACAATCTATAGATGAAAAGTGCTTGGCCACTCAAACATGGTCCTTGTAAAATTCCCCCTTCTGCATAAAATACCGGGACGATCATACAGAGTACAATATGGATGTGCTCCATTGCCGGTGGACTTTTCCTGGCTCTGATGGTTTGTTTGATGTTGTACGTACGCATATGATACGAGATGATGATATGAGAAGGATTTGGTAGAACGGGATTTAGTATTAACCTTCCATCCTTCCATCCTTTGTCCTCTGTATTTTATAAGAATTTCTCAAAAGGAAACAAACGACCACTCCCCATTCTTCAACTGCCTATTATTGGAAACATCTCCATCTTCATCTTCGGTGCCAATAATGCTTATTAGTATATCCATATCCAAGGAGAATCCGTGGAACTTCCATACTTGGATTTATTGGTCGGATATGTCAACTCGACCGAGCCGCTTAGTAATAAAGCAGGCAAACGGGACGGGGCGGGGTTAACACAAACTGATTTCTTATCAACGATAACGGTGGGAACTAGCTGATAGTTTTCCTTATATTATCGTCATCGAATATTGAACTTTTTACTTCCTCTATGTATTCCATTCACGTCGGTTTTTTTACGTAGCCATGTACCTGCGAAATGCAGGCAGGAGGTCGGGGTTCATTGTACCACCATGTAACAAGTTATTATTCAATACATTCTCTTCCACACACCAAATATCCCACCAGGCACGAAAACAATCAAGTCAATTTTTAATTCGACCAAAGAAGGAGACGATTGGAAATCATGTATATACAAAGGTGCCCCAGCGTCTAGCCCATGCGCAAAGATATCAACCTTTTGTCCCCCCTTCGCCAGCATCTTTGGGGAAAGCTGCCCCTCCAAAGCTATATCCTCGATCCATAAAATGGGGACGAAGATTACTATATGTCTCGGCGGCGACAGGCATAGCCTATCTCATAGACACCCAATTGTACGCATCCTCTATTACCAGATCATTGCGAACATTCGGCCTGGGTATATTGGTGGCAATCGATTATAAGCTTAATTTTAGACCAAATCCGATTCTGGGGGGTGACATTACGGACTTGCATAGGAGAAACGCTGAGAGGATGTTCAATCTTTTACACCAAAATGGTGGATTATACTTGAAAATCGGACAAGCAATTGCTATGCAAAGTGCAGTCTTGCCTCCTGAGTTCCAGAAAATGTTTGCGAGAATGTTCGATGATGCTCCGCAGAATGAGTGGCATGATGTAGAGAGGGTTATCAGGGAAGACTTTGGCGGTAAAAGTCCAGAGGAAGTGTTTGGTGTTAGTTATACAAATAAGCCTGGGAGTGGAATAATCGAAACAAAAGCCAGAGCTTCAGCATCTGTTGCGCAAGTTCATTGGGCGAGGTTGGCTGATGGGAGGGAAGTGGCAATCAAGGTTCAGAAACGAGAGATTGCTAGCCAAGTGGGTTGGGATCTGTGGGCTTTCAAGTGAGCTTCCTCCATTCCAAAAGTATTCAAAGTCTTGGACCTTGCTAACAATATGGCCAGGGTAGTGATGAAAGTATACACATACTGGTTCGACCTTCCCTTATACAGTCTAGTGCCCTATATTACTGAGCGCTTGATGCTAGAAACGGACTTTGTAAATGAAGCGAATAACTCAGAACAGATGGCCGGACTAGTAGCAGGTGAGCCACGATTGAACGGTCGTGTTTATATTCCCAAGGTATATCGTGAACTTTCCTCAAAACGAGTCATGACGACAGAATGGATCGAGGGTGTACGTCTTTGGGATAAAGAAGCTTTGACAGCTCCTTGGCTGGGTGGATATGGTAAAGGTTCTCCTGGAGCAAAAGGGGCGCCACTGTCAAATCCCTCGCCAAACATCCTCTCAAGTAACAATCCCAAACCCGATCGTAGTACGGAATGGAGAGGTCGTACTGGCAAAGGTGGTCTTGGCCTCAGTTTGAAACAAGTCATGACCACCATGGTTGATCTCTTCTCCGCACAAATGTTCCTCTGGGGAGTTGTACATTGCGATCCTCATCCAGGGAATATTTTTATCCGAAGACAGCCCAACGGTCAACCAGAACTTGTCCTAATAGACCACGGTCTATACGTTTCCATGACTCCAACTTTCCGACATCAATACTGTCAGTTCTGGAAAGCTATCATGACCTTCGACAATACCTCGCTTAACGAAATCACTTCTGCATGGGGTGTCAAGGCCCCCGATCTTTTCGCATCGGCAACTCTTATGCGACCATATGACGGTGGCGACAACAGCACCAAAGATCGCATCACCAAGGATCTGAAAGGCAAAACAGCCGCTGAGCGTCACTACGAAGTCCAAGAGAGACTCCGTCAAGGCATCCGAGATGTTCTTTCTGAAGAAGAAAATTTCCCCCGTGAACTCCTCTTCATCGGTCGCAATATGCGCATTGTGCAAGGAAACAACCAATTTCTCGGCTCCCCTGTTAACCGCATCAAAATGACCGGTTCATGGGCATCGCGCAGTCTGGTCGATAGCAAGGATTTGAGCTGGAGAGAGAGATGGGTTAATGGGTGGAAACATCTCTTGTTCAGATTTGTATTGTTGAGCACCGATATGGCTTTTTGGGGAAGTAAAATTAGACAATTGCTTGGATGGGGCGGAGGTATGGAGGATGATATTGAGAAGCAGATGAGGTTTTTGGCAAAAGATCAGTTCGGAGTGGAATTGCAACATGGTGTGTTTGATGGATAGATTTATGTATGTACTGCGGCGCGGAGGTAGGAGCGGGTGTAACATCACCGTACAATCAGTTAGTCGTGTATTATAGATGAAAAGTCCTTTTCGTTTCTTAGCGGGTTAATATATCATAGACAAAGTAGACTAGATATCCACTCCATCATGCTAGATAGAAATAGCTGTATAATCACAAGTTAAATTTACCACTCATAAGATCTTGATTATGAAAAAAAATGCAAACTCCCGCCGTTCCCCACAATAGAATAGGCTACTTGAGGAGCAGGAATATCAAAGCATACCTACCTACCTAAGGTATGAGTAACGAGTTCCTTTGTATGAAAAGGCAAACAGGGGAAGTAAGTAGATACTTGTTTCTTGATAGGCGGTGATTAGGGAGAAATCCGAGATGCAGAAGAAATCTGGTGAAATCAACTTTAAGACGATGCGTGCAACTCAGGCCAGAATTGTATCTGGATTTCAAGGAATATTTGACAGGTGTATATATCTTATAATACTAGCCAAGTCTACAGGATCTCCTATTATTAAGTATTAATCCAAGTATAGCAGTATTATGGAAATTGAAAGACAAAAAAGTGAAAGAAAATATCAAGTCAGAGATCCATAAACACGCCCTTAAAGAAAGATGTCTGATTTCAAAGATGAAGAGGGATATAAATATACAAGAATCATCATCTCTCATTCAATATATGAACAATTGAAGTCGAATTCACCCCATAAATCAACTTTCACCAAGCCATCGGAACAACTTCGGGCCGAAATCTGAAAGTTAGACTTTGTTTCCCACTTTGATTTGTAGAGTTGCAGGCTTGATACAACAACTAGTGATTTGACTGAAAGACCTTTTCTGTAAAGAAAGAAATCGAAATCAAATGGATAAGTGTTTGTGGTATTATTTGTTTTGTTTGTTGCATGTATTCGTACTTACCACTTATATTTTGCAGGTAGGTATGATTGATAGCTTAGTATTTAGAGCGTCAAGCTTTTTCATGGGCGCAAAATCGATCAGGATAACGAGCCATCTTGCATTGCAGTGGTCTGGTATTGACTCACTAAAGTTTTCAGTCTCTCTCAATGTCACGGCGCGATATGAAATTCCCCATTCGAAGATTCTCGGATTGGTATATGCCTCGCTATTCGAATATGAAGGAAGAGGATTCGAAGGAAATGTGGATATAGTGATCATGTCATATTCACGAAGTCGCAAACTTCACATATAAACTTCTTACGAAGAGGAGAGCAAATATCAGGCTTCATATGTCGCGAGCAGGTACTATGGAGGACGACACACTTACATGGACTGACTGGCTTTGGCATCAGCACACTGATGCCGTTTCCAGTTATCGATATGCTTAAGTTCGACGGGCACCCCCCCCCCTTCTCCCCACCTGATATGATGTCAACCATGGAAATTTTGGTTTTTGGTAGAAGCACATCGAGAATCCATAGCGAGAGATACTACTACGCTCAGGATCCAGCGGCGCCGCCACTGATTTTAGAACCTGTCATTACTGGCATGGACTCAAGTTTTGTTGAGAGCAGACGACGCGCGCGAGCTCTAACGATGGCAAGATATCAAGTGATATGTGGTTTTGGAAAATGGGATGCTGCGATTGGGATGCTGAACTGACAGCATCTGCAGTGTTTTCTGAATCAGAAATGTAAAGAGTTCCTCCGTACTGTGGAAATAGCACTAGGAAGGTTATAAAACTCACCGAAGTGTCATCATGTGTTGATATTTCGGAGAGGGTACAGTAGATACTGGTACCTATGGAGTAGGGATATGAATAGTTCTACCAAGTGCTTGCCTAACAGTACTAGGTACATGTAGGTACTGGCTCACCTCATCACCGAGGAACGAAGAAATTGAACGATTATTGAAGGAGAGTTCATGTTATTGCTGACGTACAAAGAAGAAGTGTTCTCTTCGCTTGTAACGACGTTTCTCCTTCCATATCTAAGTATTCCCCATTTCGTTATTTCCTTGGTCGATTCCCTCATGTGGATGGATGACCTGGATAACGCACCGCAATGCGGTTTATCTTCTCTCCCACAACCTCATTCTATTTGCTGCTTGCGATTGAGAATACTCATCCTAGAGAATGTTAGTTGTAGATCGTATAGTGTATACATGATTCTCTGAACTTACAGCATCTCTTTCCTGCTTCGCCTTGATAGCGACAATGGCTCTCGCCCATTCTTCCTCTTCCTCTTTCTAGTAAAATCATTAGCAAAGTTGCTATATTTCTCCTCAACCATAAACCTCAATTTATGAAGCGAGTGTACACACCTCAATCTGTTGTTGGGCTTGAACGGCTCTGTTCTGCGCCACAGCACGCGCATTATGAATGCAGATCAACTCAACCATTGCCATTCGGCAACCTTGCGCAGCACCTTGAAGACTCGTACGAGTCGTGTATCTGCGAGTATTTATAAGGGGGGTGTACCCAGATGCATCGACCTGGTTCCATTCCTGCGATCCGCGGTAGCGTTGAATGTGTTCAAATACTGTTAAGGATTTTAGTTAGTCTAGCAGTCCTCCATACAACATGAGCAAGGAAGGATGGCACATCGTGTCATGTCTTGTCTTGTCTGAATGTAAGTATCATGTGTGAGAAATACATGGCTTACGGCTTTTTTTATGGTCATATCTAGTCATCTCGTACTGTCCCAGCAAGCTCAAGGCAGAAGCTCTTGGCCAGAGGAGGCTGTTGCGTCCGGGAATTGGAATAGTGTCAGCGAAATTCATGATGGTTGAACCTATCTTGACGTTAGCGACGAAGACCGAAATAAATCTGCGATCAATATGCATATACCCCCTCAAAAATTGAGGTGCAGAGAAATCCCAATATTTCCTCGGAAATACAAGGTATTGATACTACACAAGGAGTAGATATGGTTTGCTTACCAGTGGTTGTCATCTTGATGTTTTATGTCTTGGAGATTTCAAAAAAGGTTTTTGCTATGACGGATTGATGAAGCACAGAGAAAAGGTTTGTGAAAGTGCAGATTGAAAAACAAGGAAAAAGAGGGGAAGAAAATCAACTGCTCAGCCTCAAGTATTCACTGTTACAATCCGAGTCCAAATTCACTCTCAGGATCTAAACTTCATTTGAAATTTGTATGGATATCCATGGACACCTACCAGCTTTCTTTGGGAGAAAAAATTGTGTAGCTGTCAAAGGGACAAGTGAATTGGGCCTATTTGTTGAGATAGAGAACTATCTATGGGTACTCGACTCTACTATGTAGTAATGGGATTGATATCATGATGTGATTGTGAAGCTGCTGCTTTGCTAATCTAATCTACTATTGCTTCCCTCTACCTTAATCCTGCTGCATACATACACTTTCATTGTAGCTGGTTCATAAAGAATAACTCTAAAATATGCTATACGTTCTCTGGACATCAATCGCTCAAGCGAAAGGCAGTACATTCAACCTTATTTGCTCATCTCCTCCCAGCTAGAATAATTAGATTCTCTTTCGAAAAAGAGGGGAGAATGGAGGAATGGAGTAGTGTTAGGATTCAGTAGTTTCTCTGTGCCCATGTAGACGGGGTTTTCTGAAATATAATACACCTACCTATGTGAAAATACATGCAAATATACATAAAGTCTTCCACTACCTGTTGTATCAATATTCTCTACACCTGTCTAGCATCTCAATCTCCTATGTCATCTCTACCGAAAGAGACCGAGCTGCGAGGTGTGTTTGCTAGTTGGTAGCCCCCGATGAAGATCTCTGCGCCGAAACATTTGCGCTCTTCCCTTTTGGTGGACCGGAGGCCTTTGCTGGTGTAATTGTATAGATCATGGCCAAGGTGACTCGCCTCTCTTATCCGACTCGCTCGACAAGCGGAGACAACTTTTTTTCGGGTTCGTGAATGATTTAGATGGCAGGCAAGCTTGGAATCACAGGTAGGCGTAGAGGTCTGGATATTCTCGTCTACAATGACAACATAGGTGTTTCTTTTCTATATATATATATATATATTAGCACAATATCTCTCCTACAGAACCATTTCGTGCATAGAGGGGGAGCTTCTTGGACCCGTAACTTAAGTATGCCAAGGGAGCTAGCGTAAGAGCCATAGTAAATTAGATGTTGAAGGCGAATAGGATTCTTCTCAGCTGTAGATTCCCACTATGCCGTACAAAGCACGAACAGATGGTTGCGACTAGAGGAGGTCACAAACTCGTGAGTCTGCAAAAACGTCTTCGATGAATTGACTCTGGTATTGTGCAGCGAATCATTGTAGGTGAGATCATACTCTGTGCGCCGCGAGCGAGGATCTCCTAAATAAGGACCAAACTTTGTACAATAGAATTCGTTCTTCTTGTGTCTTGGATCCAACATGCGAGCCTCTAAAGCTTTTCGTATGTGTCGAAGGTCTTGGACTACTATGTGCAACGTTTCGATTGAAGTGTAAGAGTACCTGCGGTAAAGCCGAAAATTCGGCTCTGCAGGTCATGTATAGCTGGCAAATCTTCCATTTGTAGGTTGTGGTCCCAAAGGGCTTGTCTTGATGTCCAAAAAGGCACGGAAAGCGTCAGCCAATATTCATTTGTATCGATGGGGGTTCGTTGACTTCAACTTCCTTGACCTACCTTCATTTTATGGCACATACCTAACCATTGATATAGCACAACAAGCGGGAGCTATACAGGCGTTTTGAATGTAGTATGGATAACATCCAGAGAGTAGCTGAACACGATCTTCATTACTGCTGATATTGATGGGAAGGCGAGGAATTTTCAATGTTGATGCACTTCTATTTTTCTAAATCTTCAGTCAAAGAGGCAGGTGCGAGCTTCACCTTCCGAACAGGAATATCATGGAGACAGGCAGTGTTACTTGGATTATTGAGTTACCAGATCATAAAAAACCACAGTGGAGAGAGAATGATACCTTATCAATTTTGAGGTTATAGTAAATTACTATATCTATGGATAATTGCTAGTTCTAGTCAAATATACCCTCCCCTCACATTGTTGTTTTTGGCAAGAACGATTTCTCCACAATCTCGCCGCCCAACAAAGCTCGAATTCCTCCATTCCGCCAATCATAATTTCAAAGAGGGCGGGACACTAGCTTCATTTTCTTCGTTTCTCCAATCTCTCCATTTTCTATAAAGTTTTCTATTTACTCCTGCCAATTCTGTTCCTCTTCCTATTCTTCTTTTTTACAACCACCTTCGAAATAACCTCCATCAATTCTGATCGATCTCTTCGATCTTGATTGATTCTTTTCTCTTCTCATATCTTCTCTATCACTTTGGTTGAAGTATCCGATACTTTCAATCAAACACCAAGTCTTCTCGATTCTTGATTGTAAGTCAAATCCACTTGTTTTGGTTTGTTCTCCATCCTTCTGTTCACTTAACGCTGCCATCAAAACAAACTCCCCTTCTTTTCATCTTCCACCTACTTTGGTATATGTCGAGGCGTCTCTAACTTTTCATAATAGCGTCAAGGATTCCATTTCTCCCTTCTTCCATTCTCTTTGCGAGGCTGCCCTTGGGTTCAAGTTTGTCGCATTCACTTCATCAATCAAGTAAGTTCTTCGATCTATTTATCAGTTTGTGCATCTGGCATGTACATGACATTCACTTCACCTTTTCACTTCACCTTTTTACTTCCCCGCTACTATCGTTGGCATTGCGCTGCGCGGCCATATGCGCATGTCTACTACCCCTCTTCCATTTCGCTTTATCAGGTCGCATTTGGTATCGGACAAGATTATTTATTACCTTCAACTATCCCCACCTTACTCTTCTTCCTTTTTCTTGCCTTTCTTTATCTTTACCTTTTTCGTCCTTACAGCTCCTCAATTGTTATTGTGGTATTATTGCATCTTCATCGATCTACGATTAACTGATCTCACAGACTACACACGATCATTCACTTTCTTGATTCTTTACGGTACGTCAAAGACACGTCAGATCTATGCTCTCCCCTACTTTATACTTCTTGGGCTCAACTAACTTGTTGTTTCATTGCAGATCACTTCAAGTCAACATGTCTGCCTTTGAAACTGGAGATATGGCTGCTGCCTTGCCCGTCACAGCAGAAACACCTGATATTGTCGCGGTAGAGCGCAAGAAGCCTCAAGAAGCTGGCTGGGTTGCTGTCAAGAAATATGACTACGAAACTTACAACAAGTCCACCAAGGAACAAGCAGAAGCCCGTGCTGCCGTTGCAGATGGTGCCGAGGGTGATGCTGAGCCAGTAGCTGATGCAGTTGAAGATGCAGAGCCAGAGACACTTGCTGTTGGCGGTCTTGGTCCTGGAGAATGGGCCTCAAGTGGTGCTGTCTATGAGTGGAACGAAGAATATGGTGATGTTGGTCCTAGATTCCCGGATCTGGAGGATCAATTGTTCGGCAATAAAAACAACCATGTTCGCCAGGGTCTCAACTTTGAGAGGTATTCATCTTCATTCCTTATTATATGATATCGTGCTAACATTGTTTTCTAGCATTACCACCCTTAAGGTCACACAAGAGGGGACTGTCAAGATTGATCCCATCCGCAGATTTGAGGATGCAGGTCTTCACCCAGTCATGTTGGAAAACATCAAATGTAAGTTCCCCCAGAAACCTTCTCGTGATAGTTAATATTGACTCTCTGCGATTTTAGTGGCCGGTTATCATGTTCCAACCCCGATCCAACAGTACTGCCTTCCAGCAGTCAAGAAAGATCATGATGTAGTTGCTTGCGCTCAAACTGGTGATTAATTATCATTCTCCAAAGCATTGAGCTATTTACTGACTTTCCATGTTCACAGGCTCCGGCAAGACTGCGGCTTTCTTGATTCCAATCTTGTCAAAATTGATGGGTAAGGCCAAGAAGCTTGCTGCCCCTCGTCCAAACCCAGCCACCTATATGCCAGATCGTGACAACTATGTCAGAGCTGAGCCATTGGTCGTCGTTGTCTGTCCCAGTCGTGAGCTAGCAACTCAGATCTTTGATGAGGCTCGTCGCTTCTGCTACCGCAGTATGCTTCGACCTTGCGTCGTTTATGGTGGCGGTCCTCTTGTAGAGCAACTTGGTCAACTAGCCAAGGGCTGTGACCTTCTCATTGGTACCCCTGGTCGTCTTTGCGATATGATCCGCCGTCCTCATGCTCTCACTCTCAAGCGCCTTAAGTACATGGTTATTGATGAGGCAGATGAGATGTTGGACTCCAGCTGGGACGAGGAGTTGAAGCAAATTATGAGCGGTGGTGGTAAGTACTTCGATCTTTCCGGTTTCACATGAATATTACTAATTTTGAGATAGACCAAGAAGAGGGCAATATCAACTATATGATGTTCTCTGCCACTTTTCCAAAGATGGCTCGTGCCATTGCCAAGGAACATCTGTCTCATGACCATGTTCGCATTCGTGTTGGTCGTGCTGGTAGTTCTCACACTAATATCAAGCAAGACATCATCTATGTCGATGCTTCCAACAAGCGTCAAGCTCTCTACGACTTGATTCTATCAACCCCACCTGCTCGTACCATCGTCTTCGTCAACACAAAGCGTGCTGCTGACGAAATCGATGATTTCTTGTTCAACAACGATCTTCCTTGTACATCCATTCACAGCGATCGTACTCAACGTGAGCGTGAAGACTCTATCCGTGCTTTCCGCAATGGAAAGATGCCTATCTTGATCGCTACTGGCGTTTCTGCCCGTGGGTATGTTTAAAACACCGTTCCTCATTTCCCATGCAATGATGTGCACGTCCTCCAAGTTTATCGGCTAATACAGACTCCAGTCTTGACGTACATAATGTGATGCATGTCATCAACTTCGATTTGCCATCCAATGATCATGGCGGTATTGAAGAGTATACTCATCGAATTGGTAAGCACATTTTTACTTCAACTTAATCTTGCAGCTGGCTAACTGTTGAATGATCAGGTCGTACCGGTCGCATTGGCAACATGGGTCTTGCAAGCTCGTTCTATAATGATCGTAATGAAGATATTGCTGAAGCTTTGGTCAAGACATTGTTGGAAACTCGCCAAGCAGTTCCTGACTTCCTTGAGGCTTATCTTCCTGAAGGCTTTACCATGGACGGCCAAACCGGTGATGTCGCAACTCTCAATTTTGATGATGATTCAGATGATGAAGAGGAAGGTGGCGAGAATGCTGAAGGTGGTGCTGAAGGTGGTGCCTGGGGAACAGAAGATGCTGCTACTGGTGGTGGTTGGGGTGCCGCTGAAACTACTGAAGCTGCTGCAGCTGATGATGCTTGGGGAGCTCCAACTTCCGGTGATAACGGATGGAATTAAATCATCTTCACAAGTCGTGATAGGTTTTGATTTCGATATCTATCCTACACTTTCATGTTATTGACATTTCAAAAGTCTCTAGCAATCTGCTTCTATTTGTCCTCTATCCGATGACATATATGGGCAGGGACGGCCTTGCTTTGCACAAGGGCTCTCTGCCTATTATGTTAAATTTGTATGCCTATACTTAGGCCGGAGTTGCCTTGGGGGCGGGAATGGCCTTGCATTGGAACAAGGATTTCCTGCCTGGTATGGATGCATAAAATATGGGGTTTCAATTTTCAATTTTAAGCAAAATCATAAAACAGGACAGTTAATAAAATAATGCTTTGTTCTACATGAATTTTTATTCTTACTCGTGCTTTCAGGCTGTAGCATTACTACCTCGCACCTCTAGATTGAACTTTGATAACTTCTTTGACATAGCTTGTAACAGTAAATAGGTAAGGGCATGGAGACTGATCGAGAAAGCAGTGCTGATAGAAGTGCACTCTTTCCGGGAGAAGACCTCCAATCGAGAAATTCATGTATGGGCCTTGCGCTATATTTCAAGTTGTCAACAATATGTTTCGGGTTTGGCTCAGATATCCATTTGCGTCTATCAGATACCTTGATATTGCTATCGTGTATGAGGGGATCTGCTAAAGTTCTTCCTTGTTCACGCCACAAGATACTCCTCGATAGCGAGAATATACATTCAACCTGTGGACGGAAAGCTCTCTTTCGAACAATATATTCCCTTTGTGGCCTTCAGAAATACCGAAACCCAAATAATCAGGCCAGAAACTTCAATTATCTATTCTTCCGATTTTACGAAAATACCTATGTACTCTACTTCACTTGTGCCAGCTGATGATGTATTTCCGCATTAGGGATTATTTCATATCAGGTTTTCTTCTGTGCTCTACTTATATGAACAGTGTTTTGGTTTCTAGTCATCGAAACTTGCTAATCTGTCCCCCCTCTCTCCCCCGGAGTGTGGGAAGTGATAACTGAGTCTGGGTGTCTCATATACATGTATATCTGGTACCTCTTGACTGATCAATGCATTTATCTTTGCGATTGCAGAACTCTAGGATTCGAGAAGATTCACTGGAGAAGAGCTGTATTAAGATTGAAGGATTCCACTTATCCATGCGATGATATTCGAAGAAATGCAGATTTCACACATGTAAATAGATGGCTGAATAGATCAAAGTAAACTTTGACGCTGAACGATGAAAGCGTACAGACATATGACTGTGACTAGACAGGTACACGTAGACTGGCTCACCCCGATATTGATATAAAATTTATTGATTGCCATTGAAATTCACTACTCCGTAGCCACAGCCATGTTCCTGAATGACCATTCCTCTCGCATTAAAATGAAAACCATCTGGGGATTCACATGCGCCTGGACACTTTGGATAAGTTCTTTACAAAAATTTGACATCACAAGTAGGGACACAGCATTGATCAGCAAGTCCTAAAATTCTGTTCCATTTTCTCTACGTCTTACCTGTATGACATTGCTCGACCATTCCACCCTTGCTAAACAATGACAATTCTCTATTCAAATTCACAGCTTGTGTTCACGGCGTCAACCTTCATTCTTTTGCTTCTCTCTATTCTTGCAGTTACCCTCCATACTTCGGTCTTGATCTCTAATTCCTGGGGCTCATTAGCTGTAACTGAAACCATCCATTTCGACTACAAAGATTTCAGCATCTATGTTCTTCCAGAGCACCTCGACGCATCCAGTTCCAAGTTGGCGCTAGTATCTAGCATTATCTCTCTCGTTACATCTACAGATTGTCTGGCTTTTACCACGGGATACTGGACCAAGAATAAACGAGTAAGATCCGCAATGATCTATATTTTTTGCAGAACGAGTACTGATCATCCATAGACTTACCAATTCTCTCCTGTTTCAATCCTTAGATTGGCTCTGCTGTTCAATACGCTATTATCCTTCATCGTAGTAACATATCTCCACACCTCATACATCCGATCCGCAACATACAATCCGGAACGCAGTCATCGTGGACACTATCATGAAGGAAGATTCGATTTCGAAGCTTGGACGTGTCAGGTTGTGAGGTATTCGGATGTGTATTCGGATGGGATGTGTAGGGATGCGAGAGCGGGGCGGGTGGTGCAGATTCTGATTTTTGTGGTTGCGGTTGTGGTGATGTGGGTTGGACGGTGGGAATTGAGAGAGGAGAGGAGGGGAGCGGAGGACTGGAGGGGAGAGCGGCTTTGGTTGAATGAGAGCGTGGGAGAGAAGAGTGGTGCGGTGGTGGATTGAGTTGTGGTGGATTGAGATGTTGGTTCTGGGTTACTGCAGGTTATATGATCAAGGTAGAGAAAGGGAAAGAAACATAGGATAAAGTTGTAGATCTATTGACGGATATTTCATTTGCCCAATGATTCAGGAATTTCCACTTCCGACACCTTTTGGCTAGCATCTCTATGTATCCAAATAATTTTTGAATTTCTAGAAATATTCGCTTCAAACCTTTTCAGAATTCTCAGTTATCTACCAATGGATAATTTTTCACAGCTCCAAGTACTTACTTTTCACATCTGCTTTCAAAGCCGTCAATCTAATCTGCAATTTACATGCGGCTACCTTGCATTACTGCTTTAGTTCTCAAACTGGTTTCTGAATACGTACGCAGTTGTTGGTTTATGTTATCTGTGGATATCGTCATGTTGGGCTGATGTTGGTATTTTGGCGTACTTATATCCTCGATTATCTCCCAGATAGAAAGTCAAGAATGAAAGTTTTCTCGTCCACTTCTTCTTTTGTCTGGGCTTGTCAGTAATAAGATAAATTATTATCTGTCTATCTCTCCACCATTCTACAAATTAAATCTTGCAACCTACCATTTCTATACCTTCAAACCATGGCACCAACCAGCTCCGAGGAGAATCTCCCGAGTCCTAAAGCAGGATATTGGAGATATGATAAACGTCGACTTCTTATTGACATGCTAGATGAAAGGGCGCGTGTATGCCCTGATGCGTTGTTTGGGGAATATCCCGTAAGTCATACTTGTAATTTCTGATTCCCTGGCGCCTTGACAGATGTCCATTTTTTACGGACGTCTCGTGCTCATAAACTCTCTTTTCTTGCAGCTTTGGTTTCTTGCCCTCTTGTACCAAATAGACATTCACTCACCTACTCGTAGATATCCTTGATCAATTACTCACAAGGCTATCGCAAAATTACTTATGCTCAGTTAGCAAATGCGGTAAACGGAGCTGCTAAATTTCTTACCGAGAAGTTGGGTCCTGGAAAAGATTTTCAGACATTGTGTTATATGGGATGGAATGATTTTCGATATGTGGTTTTTATTTTGGGGGCTGTGAAGGCGGAATATAAAGTAGGTTTCATCTATTTTTATGGGCGTTGAAAAGGCTGTAGTTGCTCATAGTGAGGAATCACACGGAAAAAGAAGAAGACAAAAACAATGAGGGTAGCTGGAGTTGTCAAAATCTGAAGGCTGACTGATGAAATATAGCTTCTCCTCACATCACCCCTTCTCACCGCCTCAGCAACCACTCATCTCTTCACTACCATGTCTTGCAAAGTGCTCTTAACCACCTCTCCCCAACCTCCAACTGTGGCCCCCGTTGTGAAGCTTCACGATTATTTACGTGTTCTCACAATCCCTTCTATCGAGGAGCTGCTCGATACCGCTTATGAATATTTTCCCTATGGAAAAATATTTGAAGAGGCTAAAGGGGAACCATTAGTTGCGCTTCATACATCTGGGACTACTGGACTCCCAAAACCAGTAATCTATACTCATGATTATGCGGCTGCTTATGTACGAGCGTTGCAATTAGAGCCTCCAGAGGGATTTGAGTCTTTGGATAGAAAGAGTGAAGGCGGGAGGGTGTTTTCGCTTACTGCCCCTTTTCATGTGCGTTTCTTCCTTCCTTGCAACCTACAATCATACGTTATGACCATCATCTTATTGACTTACCTCATAATATTCTAGACTTCAGCTATCTGCATTATGATTGCAGCAATAGCAAATCAGACAACCTACATTTTTCCGCCCGCGGCCACAATTCCCACCGCGGCTCTTGCAGTGGAAGGACTCAAACACACGAACGATGTCGTGGGTATTCTTGGTGGACCCCCACTAGTAGCCGATTGTGCTAAAGACTCAGAGCTGCTCGATTTCTTCGCAAGTCACGTCGGATTAATGTGTTATGGGGGTGGAGATGTCGCACAAGCATTGGGAGATATCGTTTCTACCAAGCTAGATCTATATACATCTCACGGATCCACGGAATCCGTAAGCTACCCCCTGATTCGAGAAATCGGAGACCGGGAACCGAAAGATTGGAGATATTTTCACGCGCATCCAGCTGCTGGATTACAGTTTCGACTTCATCCTGAAGGAGAAAATCTGCATGAGGCGTATATCGTGAGGAATCCAAAACCTGAGGATGAACAACCAGTTTTTAAACTCTTTCCTACGCTTCAGGAATTTAGAACAAAGGATCTATATTCTCCTCATCCCAGTAAACCAGATCTCTGGATCTATAAAATGAGATCAGATGATATGATTCCTCTTTCCAATGGCCAAATCGCAAATCCATCAATCATGGAACATGCGGTCCTTGACTGTACGGGTATCAAAGAAGCTGTTGTACTCCCTGTCCAGAAGATCGGCTTAGAGAACTATATCACGTGTATTGCTCTCCTTATCGAACCTGCTTCTAAAGTGTTATCTACTGAACAGAAGGATGATTTGATAAAAGAACTTTGGCCGGTTGTTGAAAAGACAAATTCGTACTACAGAACGAATGCCTTTGTTGAAAAGAAGCGCATTTTATTTGTGGATCCACGAAAGCCGTTGGCTAGGACGGCGAAGGGGACTATTAGTAGGAAGAGGGTTTTGGAGGATTACAAGGAGGAGGTTGATAAACTTACGTAGGTTATGGGGGTTTCTGTCGGGCTTGAATCTCTGCTCTCTCTCCATGGCGGATGTTGTTCAGCAATAGCTTGAACTCCTAAACTCAAAGAGTTTATCTTAACCTTTCACTTCGGGGCAAGAATTATTATTGAAGATCTTCCAGAACGTACTGAATGTGAGAACCCATAAGTATACGTGAGCAATATTGAGATTGAGGAAAGTAGATTCTATCAACAGGACATATAGTATTATTTCTGAAAGTGGTTTGGAAATGTATGAGATGAAACCTATGGTAGATTTATAACTAGCGCTTATATAAATGCAATTTAATGCGTTGGGTAAGAGAAGAATGACTGGCGAGTAAAACAAAGGTGATGGCCACGGGAGTACAACCAGCCAGCTGGTGTCAACGACTGTGAATCTTTAACAGCGTTGTGGAATGAGAGATGAAGAGGTCAAGAAAGAGAGACAACACGATATCTAATACTGGAAGCTATCAGAAGTGCAATAAGTGATTAGACCGATTCGTTCTGGCTGACTTCCGCGTAAGGTAAATAAATATCACAAGTCTGGGTCGGACGACTATACTTTAACACCCTTGCATGCAATTCCATGCAATTCCATGCATTCTACCTAGTTTGTTTGACTTCACACCTCTGATATGTGGCCTGTCCCGGAGATGGTTCAAAATCTAGACGTGCAACATAACTACGAATTTGTCACCGGAAACTTCTCCAGCCAAGGTCTGCGTACTGCCCGGAGATTGTTCATAATCTAGATATGCAACAAATCCAGATATAGTCCTAAGCTCACACTTCCTCAGCACTCGTCTGTGAAATGCGCGGAAATCTTCCTGAATTCAGACGTGCAACAATATTAAAGAGAGGTTTATGATTGATCAGCTCGTGCTCAAAATCTTGCCACGTCTCACCCTAAATGATCAAAAGTACGTAGTGTCATGGAATTTCCGGACCTCTCCTTTCTCCTCTGAAACTTCAGACAGCTCGGAGAAGGGCCAAAATTTAGACGTGCAACAAGACTATCTTGAACACATACGAATACAGGTGATTGTCATGCTCGTGAATTTCCCCTGTTGAGATTTCCGAAGAAATGTGTCTTGGCCGAATCTAGTCTAGGTCTTACCGAGCGGACCTATAAGAATGCTACATTTAGCAGAATCCTGATCCACCAATTCCGCATATGCTGTGAGGCGTGAAGCGAGAAGAGGCGAGGGGAAAGAGACTAAAAGTGTGTAAAGTAGTGAGAATAGGTGCGATGTATACGACACGAACGGTACAAACGCCTGCAGTGGATGAATCTTCCAGCCTATTAAGTAACCTAGGTCGGTAGTTGAGACATGGAGATACAGATATGTACACGACAGTATTAGTGAATATCTTGTGCCGCTTCCATGAAGTAACTTGAGATGGTATAGATGGTACATTGAGTACGGTAGGTATAGTCTAGGTTATGGCTCCCTTTGTGATGTGTTGATGAGATGAGACTGGCATTGATTTTGTAATCTATGAGTAAACTAGCGCCAAAGTTCATGTGATTACCTAGATAACCTTACCTTACCAACAGCCTTGTAAGAAGCTCGGACCCACTAAATTGAACTTGTCGCGTCTCCATCTGAACAACCTCAATTCTAGATCAACAAAGTGAACTTTGAGCTGCATTCAATTTTTTGTCAAGTCCAGCTGCTAAGTCACTACGATTATTTATCACACCAATAACCCAACGGGAATTACTACCACATATAATCCGAACTAATCAACAATAATTCGCAAAAATGCCACCATTCAAGGATGAGCACATTCTCATCATTGCGCCTGGCTCACAAACAACTCTTGCTCAACTAGGTCTTCCTGAATCCTTTACACCACCACAACGAAGATTTCCCACTCGTATGTTTCTCGCTCCTGATGGAAAAACCTACGAACCATACAAAATTCGACCAAAAAGGAAAGATCCCTCAGCTACAACAAATGGCGATACCGAGATGGGTGGAATCAAAGAAGATAAGGTAGATGAGGAAGAAGAATTAGAGGAAGTCCCTGAGGATGATGAAGGCGCTATTTGGCCATTGAAAGGTTTGTTTATCTGTTTGCTTGCAGGCCTTACACATACTGATACAATGTAGAGGGTCGAATCGAGAATCTTCCAGCCTTTTGCGCTTTTTTACATCACGTTCACAATCAATTATCGCCAACTCTTCACACACCTGTAATGTTAATCGCGCAACCTGCCTGGACAGCCAAGAATCATGAAGACCTCACTCAATTCATATTTGAAAAGTTCAGAACTCCGGCGCTTTGTATTATGGACAGCGCATTGGCAACTTCATATGCATTTGGAATCGCAAACTCAACAGTCATTGATGTAGGGTTTGAAAAGGTTGACATTACTGCCGTTACGGACTTCCAAATATCTGGCAGAGGAAACATACCACAGTCGGGTGGAGAGGCAATGACATTACGCTTGCAAGAGTTACTCAAGTCGAAGGACTTTACAAGGGATATGGCAGAACAGTTGAAGAAGAGTGCAATATGCGAAATATTACCTCTGGGGACTCCTCTACCGGGCGGTGAGGAGAACGTAGAAGTCATAAGCAACCCTGCCGCTGCAGCTTCCACTGGCGCCCCATCATCTGGACCGAATGTTAAGGTTGCAGAAGCACCTCGTGGACCAGGACTAAATACCGAGGTGGGAGAAGAAGATACCATCAATGGTGTCGATGTTACAGAAGATGATGGTGTTTTAGACGTTGCCAGTATTGTGGCAAGTGGGAAAACTCAAGAATATCTCGCAAAGATCGAAAAGGAGAAAGCTGGAAAAGCTTCTAAGAAGGCTCAGAAGGACAAAGAAGCAGCGGAGGCGGCAGCAGCTAAGCCAGTGAGATTACCAAATTCGAAGAGACCTCGCGCCACGTTCCACTACGAATCATCACTTCCTGAGCCGGATGCAAAACGCCAAAAGACACCCGAGCCAGTGACCGCAGCGAATCATGAGGGTGTACCATCTCCAAACGGCACATCCACCGATGCTCCCGTTGAGCCTACGTCAGGTACCGACGCCGCTGTTGCGGTAGATGAAACTGTAGCCCGTGAGCAAGCAAAGACAGCACGCAGACAGAAGGCTTGGGAAGATGAGCATCCGGACCGCATGAGAAGAGATATTGACATCGGCTTAGAGAGATTCCAAGCAGCCAGTGAGAGTTACATGGACGCTATTGCCGATACTGTTTACAGAACCATCCTCTCCGTCGACGACATTTCCAAACGTCAAGATGCTTGGGATTCTTTGATTATCTGTGGATCAGGATCAAAGGTCAGAGGCTTCAAAGATGCGCTCATTGCAATCCTCAATAGTCGATACCTTATCTCGCCAAGCTCTGCAACCATGTTTATGAGTGAACTCCCTTCTAATCTACCAACGCCATCCGGCACAGGTTCCATGACACCAAATGCTTCCTTCTCCTCGACACCACACCCAGTACCCTCAGCCAACGCAGTGAATCCCTTACTCCTCGCAGCGACTACCGCGTCCAATCCTGCGCTCAACCCCAACATATCTTCGTTCAACAGCGGTGCAAATGCTCAGCATTCATCACACTCTCAGTCACCCACTAGCATTAAACTCGCCACTCCCCCAGGATACTTCCCAGAGTGGAAGACTTATGAAGAGGCCGTGTTCTTAGGATCTCAGGTAGCTGCCAAGGTCATTTTTGTTGTAGATCAGGGTCTATCCAAGGGGTTCTTGTCACGAGTGGATTTCAACGAAGAAGGACCAACTGCTATTCATCAAGTGTAAGTTTCTGCTTTCCATGAATTATGATATAAGTGCCTTGTACTGATATAGAAATAGTGGTCTTGTGTATTAAAAGAACTGCGAAATCGGAGTATGTGGTAATGCATCTGGGAGAAGAGAAGAGAATGATGATAAATTTACAAACCAAAAGTATACCCATATTTTCATCAAAGCTCATATATTCATGTTTGTAGTAATGAAATGAATATTCCTTTGTTTCTGTTCACCTTTGATGTACTAGATAACTTGAGCTGAGGTATCTGTGAAGGAGTAAACTCATAAGTATATCAACTAAACGCTGATTTAAGGCTCCCCAAAAAGAATATTCCAACTCCCTCTCTCTCACATGTAGTTATACCTCCCCGCTCTTTCGCCTCCAGTGTCCGCTCCTGCCATTTTACGACGTCCGACGAGGCTCTACCTCTCTCGTACCGAACCTATTAGTGAAACCTCCGAATTGGTCGATTTTATATTGATAGATTTGGTCAACAATTTTAGTCTTTGGAGAAGAGTGAATCTCAGAGGAGGGTTGATGAAGTGAGAATAGGGATGAGCGGAGTGTGGTGAGAGACGCTCAACGTTGTCTTTATCAACTACCACTTTTGGAACAGAATTGGTTATCTTTTTATTCAACTTTAACAGAGATTGAATATAAAAAAGGCAATTGGAGCCCTTCCCGCCTCTTCTTTCCTCTTCCCTCCTCTTCTTTCCTCTTCCCTCCTTCCTCGTTTTGGATTGATGACTAAAACGACCAATTCAAGTTATATAAAGGAATAGACATCCGTATATTTCTCAGCCTTTTGGACAAGTGAGCTTTATGGGAAGAGACAGATCAATCTACCCAGGTGAATTGACTAGGTACGCTCCTTCCTTCTCTTGTACTGCCTACCTACTACCTACCTACTACCTACCTACTACCTACCTAGTAGTACGTATTACTTATTAGGTACTGTTCGAAGGATAGATGCAACCGACTCCCAATCACGCTTTCTTCCGTCTAGCTTAGCAGATTCACTACAGCGCGCTAAATTTTTAGGCAGGTTAGACTTTACTCATTTCGCGTCACCCTTCTTCTAAATTTATTTAATTTTACCATAGAGCCCTTTTCTTTTATAAAACTTACCTGAAAACTCATCATCTAACAACATCTACCTCTTTTAAAACTACCTTCTCGAAACCTAGGTGTCTGGAAAACTTGTAAGTATTATTGTCTTCCTCCAAATCCTTTGCCCTATTCAGGTCTTTAAAATCATCTTTGTGCCAAAACTCTAGTTATTGCTTTGCAGGATTTTATTTTCCAAATTTACCTGCTAGGGTCATGTGAATTTTTGCTAATGCTACTTACAAGAACTAGTTCAACATGAAGCCATCATCTCGCCCTGTAAGAAAGGCTGCAAACAGAGTTACAAAGCCGAAATCAAAAACATCAACCAAAAAGAAGAATACCACCATTGCCAAGAAGATCACTCCTGAGCCAGAGGCGGCCAAGTCTATTGTAACGAATCCGGTTGATCGAATTTATAAGACTGTGATTTTGGAAAGTAACGATATCGAAGATGGGTTGTGGATGATGCGCAGACTTGGCAATGGCAAATATGAAGCTGTGAATCTCAATGATGCTGCATTCGAAGACATCTGCTCAGAAGAAAATGAGGCAAGAATGGCTTCCTCTCCGGAAAGCGTCGAGGTTTTCAAAGCGAGCCAGAAGTCGATAAAAGATGTTTCATTAAAGCTGGATAGAGCTATCTTTACCGCGAGTATGTATTTGACTTCGCGTTCGAAGACAATCAATGCACTCGGGCAGAGTTAACGTTTTCACTACAGGTGGAAAGGTCTTCCGATTCAAGAAGCTCCCTATAGAGCTGCGATACAAAATTTACGAGTATGCACTAATTTCAGAAACTGGTTTACGCCCCGGCTATGCCTCCTGCAACAGTTTCAAATTACCAGGTGTTGCCCTTGGCCTTCTTGCCTCCTGTCGCTCTATCAATGCAGAGTGCATGCAGTTCTTGTGGAAGAACACTTTCGACCTCAATGCCTGCAGCATAAAGCGCCTCAGAGAGGTTAAGGATATTTTAATCCAGAATGCCCGTAATTTCAAATACGAATGGTCTGGTAGTGGTTCTGGTCAATCTAAGGATATGCTCATTCTCGGAATGCTTGCCTCTTGCGAACATATCGATACTCTGCATCTTGTATTGTGGGGATCTTGTGTAGATGGTCGCCGCACATGGTACAATCGTAAGCCACAGCATATGTATCAGAACGACCCCACCGTTCCTGCCGTCGTTCAAAAGTTCAGTAGAAGCAATGGTTTCGATAAACTCGTTAGTCTGCATGACCTTAAAAAGGTCATTGTTACGAAGCACTGGACTTTCACCGATGCTAGTGGTTTGACCGACGTAGAGTTCAAAGCTTTCGAGAAATTCTTGAATGATAAGCTTACAACGCCAGTAGCACCACCTCTGGTAAGTCCCTGATCCTGTCAGTGTATTCTCCTGGGCATCTTTCTAACCACATCTAAAGGTCGTTGCTCACTTACCTTCCGCTTCAACAAGAAAGTCTACCAGAATCCTAAAGAATGCCAGGCCACTCAAATATGTCCCGGATCCATTTAGCGAAGACGAGGAGGGGTTTTGGGATGAGGAAGTGGATGAAGATGGTGATGACGATGGCCATGACGAAGAGGAATGAGATCCACAAAATCTGAATCATTTCCGGATATTGCGATTCTCAGCTGCGTCTGTTCATGCTTGAGGACTTGGGGCTATGTTGTCTGATACCGGGTTATGAGACTTTGATGCGCGGATATTGCGAGGGGTTTACACTTTATGTTATCTAATACGGGGCTTATGAAGATTATTTCTCGAAGAAGCCTACTATTGGCGAGAAATAATGGTACAGTGACGTTGTGAGAACGTTACAACTTACCCAAGAAGTGAGAGTGGATTTCAATCGAGGATATCAACTTTCATATTCAGTGGTAGCGGCAAGCAATAGCTTGCTGAATAGCAATAGCTCGCTGAATAGCAACAGCGAAAGCAGTCTACTTAATGTTAATGGTCGGCTTATAAGTCTCAAAGCACTTAAGAGTTGGCAACCAATTGACGTTTTGAGTACCTCATATGAAGCATTTTACATAACTATAGTGCCGTATAATATTCTTCAACATACAAATCTCAAATTTGACAGTCGAACGTAGCATCAAACCATTCCTCAGGCCGTTGAGATTCCGACAGAATGCTATGCCTGATAGATAATTGGGAGTTATTTTGGTTGGTGATCTAGGTATTATATCGTCCATCACATGCATGCCTGCTTTGAATTGTACCTTTTTTGTACCTTTTTGACTTGGCCTTTCGAGGGGATCAGGGGTTTAGCCTTTGGTGTGGGGTACAAAATTTAGCGTTGATGGTCCAAGCATAATCAGATCCGTTCCGCGTAGCTTCAAGATTTCTAGATTCACAAACTCAGCAATTCATTTCTACCTATTTAGACATATTTCATTTTTATTTGTCTTGCCATACCACAGGTCTTGATCGTAAAATAAAAAAATGTCAGTCGACGGACAATCGCCACGAAGAGGCTCTATATCTTCAGCAAATACACCAATCCTTCCACCAGTATCAGCATTTGCGCAAAAGCGCGCCTTAGAAGATGATCATCAACCTGCAGTATCATCACCTCTTAATCCAGAATTCAAAGTTCAAAAGACTGGAGATGAGACACCTGGTGGCATTCGCGAACGAGCATCAAGGGCTAAAAAGGAATCGTTGAAGAAGAGAGAATCGAAGGCAGGATCGCTTGCGCCAGAAGGAAGTGCAAGAGCTACTCCAGATCCAAGATCAAGCTCTTCAAATAGGAAGAAAGCCATAATTAATTGCGTTACCCCTCTACGATACAAGATACCTCCACCGAAATTACCAGATTTCGAAGCTCCTCGTGGACCGACTCTCGTTCCTTCGCATACCAAAACCGCCCCAGATGGTACTGAAATTCAATTCCATGAGACCACTGATCAGTAAGTTTTACGGCACATATTGTATAGAGATATAAGCTTATATATATGTGTAGCGTATATAACAAGAAGAACTTTCGATATACCCGTGGCATAGCAGACCCAGCTTTTCCTTCCATTCTTTACTATCGACAAACCGAAACGGAACCTTTTGGTGCTCGATTAAGTTTTGAAGATTCAGCTCCCCATATGATGATGGATGAATCGGCGAGACATATTACAACAGATAAGGGCTTCAGAATGGCGAAGGCTAATGTGGGGATAAGGGAAGGTCGTTGGTATTGGGAATGTAAAATCACAAGTGGTGTGCCAAGGCCTAAAGTAGGAGAGCCAGCGCAAGAGTCGCATGGACATGTTCGTATGGGTTTCGCAAGAAGAGAAGCAGCTCAAGATGCGCCAGTTGGATTCGATGCTTATAGTTATGGTATCCGGGATGTAGCTGGACAAAAAGTATGGATGTCTCGACCCAAGGACTTTTTCCCTGCAGGAGAATCTATTTATGAAGGAGATGTTATTGGGCTAGAGATCAATCTACCTTCGGAAAAATTACATCGGAAAGTCGTCGAAGGGAATTATAACCCGGCAGTCGACCTCACTGATGAAGATGATGGTGGAATGGAACGAGCAGATATGATACGAGATCGAGTACCTATTCGATTCAAAACTCACCTCTACTTTGAACAAATCGAATATTCCACATGCAAAGAGCTAGAAGAACTCATGAACCCATCACCAGTCATATCATCGACTGGGGGTGTCGCAGCTGCAAGTCAAGATCCTGGGCCAACTCATCCTGTACCAGCTCTCCGCACTCTTCCACACTCATCTATTAAAGTATACAAAAATGGAAAGCTGATCGGAACACCATTTACGGATCTCTTATCCTTCCTCCCACACGCCTCGAAACCACAACCTCAAGTTGGGGCCAGAGAAGGTCTTGATGATGGGATGCTCGGTTATTTCCCCGCCGTGTCAGTCTTCCGCGGCGGTGCAGCAGAAGTTAATTTCGGTCCTCAATGGTGGTATCCTCCACCAGGTTCGAGCGCAGAAGATGATGTGGATATGGTGAATGATGAACCCTCTCTACCCAAGATTAGAGCAGCGAGCGATCGATACGATGAGCAAATAGTAGAAGACATTCTTTATGATATTGTTGACGAAGTTGATTTCTGGATTAGAGATGGAGGGGATAGTGGGAAGGGTAAAAAGAGGGATTTACAGTTCGCCGTCGGAGGGGCGGCAAATGGCGGGGGATTGGGAGGTGGAGATGCGGGTGGGGAGATTAAGGAATTGGTGCAGGATGAGGAGTAGGTGGATGGGGAACTTTGTGCAGTGAGCAGCTCTGGAGATATCGTGCATGGTGGAATGGGGAATTTCTTATTTACGGATATAGGTTTGAAAACAGGCACGGACACGGACACGGGCATAAATGGCGTTTGCTTGGTGCTATGTAACTGAAATAGTAGTGTTAATTTGCTGGGCATATATTTCTTAGATGGTGGTTGGTAAGTGTGCAAATGGAGCTGATGCGTTTTATCAGGAAATGGGAGAGGGCATGTCGATGACCCCGGGTAGTATAGGGATATTACCAAGATATGAGTTGCTAAAGAAGCAGGGGAGTCGAACTTATTGATTATTGTTACTCTCGTTATTCATAGTGACAAAAGCGTTTTTGATGCTTCCCCGGGCATGGGTGATGGACAAGTTTAATAAAGTTTAATATAATTACTCGGTCCGTAGATATCTGCTTACGGAGTGGACTCCTGAATCGATAGAAATAGGAATACGATAAACAAGTCTGTTGTGGAATTGTTACTTGTGCTCCCAGAAAGTATGCAAACCCCGGGGCTAGATGATAAACTGTAAGATGACTAGCCAATGTTTCTCAGAAACAAAGCTGCATAGGTCTTTTCTGACAGCACGCACGAGTATCTACCTAGGTATGTTTTGATATCAGGGGTGTTTGTGACACGAGTGAATACCACTAGTGGAATCGAAACGCGTACTGTACTGTGCACTCTCCTCGCCGGCTTGGTAGGGTAGGCTCACCGTGGACGGAAACATTAAGCACACCAGATTCGCTAAAATCGAAAATCTTGTAAAACCAAACTGTTATTTTGAAATTGAATAACAAATCAAAAACATATTAATAACTGATGGATCAGAGGTGGATCATAATTTATAAAAATTTCTAATGTTTCTGTATAATTCACACATAAAACGCTGAAAATCTGAAGTAATAAGGAGTTTGGAGATGTGATATATTTCTAGTGTACTAGTTTTTCCGTCCACGATGAGAGCTCGTGATTATTTCCTCTTAATTTATTATTAAAGATAAATGCCGGGCTATCCACGGCTGCAGTACGTATACCCAATCTAACGAGCAAAGGAAATCCAATAAAATCAATTCCAATTATGAACGATTATCAGTCCTCGGTGCCGAAACCGTTGCTCCGTACTTGGAGGTCTGGGAGCTCGGGGAGATAAGGCTCGCGGCAAGTAAGGTTACCTGATGCGAGTACGAGGGACTGAACACCTGGTTCCGGGAAGTCGAGATCCACAAGGCTGCGCACGATCCTTGAAACTTGGACTTTGGAGTCTTGGACTGGACTGGATTGGGAACTTGAGAGGACTTATTATTAATGCATGCCGGTACTTGAAGAGAGATATGGATGTTCTCCGCTCCCGATTCCCGTTTCAGGATTCCATTGATGGGTGTGAAAAGGGGATCGGGGTGTAAAGTTTCCAGCCGTTGGGTTTCTTCAGTGTAGCGGTACGTTTCCCCGATGTGATGTTCATCTCCAAGGCTTATGGTGTGTAGAGAAAGTCCTTGGGCACCTACATAGTCAATGATCTGAGCCTCGATCTTTATTTTTATTCTCAAGTCGTTCTACTCTGTCGCCATCGGTGGTAATCTAGTGGTTCTTTGACTAAGTTTGATGAAGTTTATTTCTATTTTATATTGGATCTACAAGCTAATAGGTACACGTACAACGAAATATCCACACAGATATCGATGGATGTAATAAGCTCTATGAGATTCGATATACATACATATTATATCATCCCATTTGGCAGAGAGATACTTGAATTGAGATGTCCAAGTAATTCCTAAATTCCTCGAAGACTAGAGCTATCCATCTAACCATCTACCTATATAACTACTCGAGCAGAGCAACTTGAATAAATCCCTACACTCATTCCTATGTTGTGTTAAAGAAAAGAGAACCGAGCCCTTCGATAAAGTACCTACCCCTGTATCAATCTACAGTCCTAGTAATTCCATCCTACCAGCCTATTTTTGCGTAGTGGTTCGCTTATGACAACTGGAACGTGTTAGCTTTTTAGTTCAGTTCCCCATTTGGAATTTGATAGGGAAAACTTTATTTGATCCTCAAACCAAGATGAAAAGACTTGTTAGTGAAATTCGATTTTGTACAGAGTATAATATCCAACGATAAGGCCCTTCAATTCTACATACCCCCTTGTACCAATCTATTTTGCTTTCCCTAAATGTTAGCTCGCCAGCCAGTAAGGCTACTGCCGCTTCGTCTTTAAACTTCGAGAGGGTGTCAAATTGAGCCTCTACTCAGCCTCAAGTGGAGGTGTCTAGAAAGACGTTGAATATTAGAAGAAGCTCGGATAAGGTAAAGAAGTCTATCCGAGTGCTTTTGATGACATCCATGACCTCTCTACTGCCATCGATATCTTCCTTTACTTAGCTCGAGTGGAAATTACAATAAAGGGTCTACATCTACCCACAAATTTACCCATATATTCTTTATTTTTCGGCATTCTTTCCTTATTAGCTCGGTCTTTTCGCAACTTTTCGAATCAACCGATTCGAAAGGGGTCAACATCATTCTAACACAAGACTAAACCTGAGATTTGAAAGATTCCTAGAGTTGATCTGCCGCTCTTGGAGCTTTCATTTGACATGGATTGTAGAACACCCAGACACCGTTCGTCTTCATTAATAATCTATTCATTACGTACTTCGAGCGGAGTCAGCTGATTGGAACATAGGAACTGCATGTGATGCATGCAAACGAATGAAGGTATGCATGATCAAAGTCGCCTTGTTTTCCACAACTTACTGATGATCATCAGATCAGATGCGAATGGGATCAGGAAGGAAAATGCAATCGCTGCCATGGACGAGAGATGGAGTGCACAGTCACGACCAAGGAGCGGAAAAAGAGAGAGAGAAAGAAGTATGAGGTAATCCCAATCGTAATCAACACATCTAACTGAATTTTAGGGGTAATCATATCTCTCTCTTAGAGGATAGGCTGAAACGTATGGAGCATGCTATGACAACTTCAGGGCTCAGTATCGATGCCTCTGGCTTTGAAAGACAGACATCAGAGGAGATAACCGATCAAGCCGGGATGTTTGAAAAGTTCTCTGCACTCACCATAAGTAATACGGGAAGTGAAAATTTTAGGGGCAAGTCTAGATCACATCTCCCGATGAATTGCTCTTATTAAACATCATCAGGTGCTGCTTCTGGTTTTTCCATGCTTTCACCAGAAGGCCTTCAACTCATCACCAGAATGACTGGGAATAACGATTTTGCAAATTTCATGGCTTCTACAAACTATACAACAATGAATCAATACTCCGTCTCCTCATCAATATGGCATACGATGCCTGATGATGAACACAAATCGCTCCCACCCAAGGAGGTTGCAGATAAAATTTTGGAATGTAAGTTTATCACTCATTTCTTATCAACACAAAGTAACTCGTGTTCTCAGTTATTTTTGATAGAATGATGATCTCATGGCCCCTATTTGAGCGAAAGACTTTCATGGAACGGTACTCACGCCAATATCCGGTCAAATGTTCAGAAGATCCTGCTTGGTATGCATGCCTCAATGTCTGCTTTGCTCTTGCTGCGATCATGCGCAAAGAAGAATTGCCTGGAAATTCACCTCCAACACCTCAAAATGCAAAGTCTCCTGGTCATGGAGAACTGGAAAACCTGAGTTGGTGGAGATGGCTTCGGAACGCAGCTAGTACTTTTGTTGATTTGCAATTTGGACCACCTTCTCTCACGGCTGTACAGGCAATGGCTGGACTAGTAATTCTCTCTCTATCATGATTCATTATGGATCATATTAACCTCATATTAGGCATTCATTCTAGACACACTGTCAGACCCATATCCATCTTCTGTTGTATCTGCAGCAGCGATACGACTTGCGCAAACCATTGGCCTCCATCGTAACATGTCCAATTCCGGTCTTGATGAGGCTGAAATAGAGCAAAGACGTAACGTTTTCTGGATTGCTGTCATGATTGAACGTGGCATAGTGATTCGTCAAGGTCGCCCATCAGTAATTCATGATGAAGATATTGGGGTTGACTTACCACCTGCAAGTCAATATCCGAAGAACGCCGACGGAAGATTTGTTACATTCCGGCATAATGCTACTTTATCGTTACTTCAAGGTCGAATATACAATAGACTATACTCTGCAAAATCGTTTACAAAATCCAAAACGGAGAGACTGAAAATGGTTGGAATGCTGGATGATGAACTTCAGCAATGGTGTGAGACGATTCCAATTGAAGTTCGACCGGGTAACCCTATAAGATGCGACGAACATCATATAGTCTCAGTTGTTTGTATGCAATGGGGTTATTACCAGTGTCTTAGTACCATTCACCGAGCATCATTATATAGTGGCCCAGGCTCCTTGGATGATGATGGCGATAAATCCAAAGATGACTTCGACTCTAAATTGAATCCACGAGTATATGCTAGCGCTGCGATATGTGTCAATGCAGCAAGGAGGACGATCAATCTATTGGAGGATTGTACAAAACTCTCAAATCCTATTGAAGGAAATGTTTTACGGTATGTGTAAAAATATTGCTGGATTCTATCTCACACTAACATATAACTCTTAGCATGTCTATTTACAATGCACTTGCAGCATGTGTTACTCTTTTTGCAAATATTCTTCAACATCCTCTTGATCCACAAGTACAGTCTGATCTTCAATTAATGAATGATGTAGTGTCATTTCTGTCCAGCTTTGAAGATCAAGGTGCAGCGGAGAGTCACCCATCAATACCGATTTTTCAAGAAATCAACCGTGTCGCTATGGAACATGTTAACAAGGCACAACGTAGAGCTCCGAAAAACACTAAGAGATCACGAGCTAAATGCAGTAACACTGAGGAACCGAATACAGAAAGTGATGACTCGGATGATGAGGATTACAGAACAGAGGAGTTAGAAAGTCGCAAGGCAGTCTCTGAGGTATGAATGGCGCTCTGATTTTAATGGTTCTGGAGCTAATATTGTTTCTAGATTCAAGATCCACGATCTCCGACATCACCTGTTAATTCGGCAAATATTCAAGCTTCTCCTTTTTCTTCAGCACAACCCCCACCGTCCAATATTCCAACACGCATACACTCATTCGAATCCAACTCAACGAATTATATACCAGAGCGTATTCCTACATCTATACAACAAAATTACATTATACAGCAAGCGGCACAAATTCCCCAACAGTCTCCTCCATTTTATGAATCAAGTCCTCGTGTACAGCTCATTACCGATCTTTCCGATCTCGACCAGCAACAACAACACATCAATTCTCTAGATTACCATAATTCACCTATAGATCCTCGACTCCAATCCCAATCTTACCCTTCACAAGCTTACACACATACATCCCATCCCGCCACTGGATACTACTTTTCATCTTCAGATCAACATCAACATCAGCATCAACAAAATATCAGTTCACATCACTCGGAAACATATACAAATACATTGAGCAATCCACACGCCAGTCCGCAAGATCTGGTATGTCAAGAGGAAGAAACTTTGCTTCCGCAAGATGGGAGTTGGTTTTTTCCGATGATTAGTCCGTGGCCTTATGGGGATGGATCGAATGTTAATTTGAACGGGGTTGGTGCAGCGATGGGGGGCGTGGGTGAAAATGAAGGAGGGGCGTGGAGACATGGTGAGAATGATGGGGAGGGAGATGGATTGGGGGGTTGGAGTGTTCATGGATGATGATGTGTGAGGTTGGGACATGGATGCATAGTGGTATCGTAAAGTTTAAATGTCAGTCGAAGAGTTTGATCAAGTCGATAGGTTGTATATACGGGCATGAGGGGGAGTAGAGGGTGAAGGTGGATAGTTTGGGGTTGCATAGTTATCATACCATTTCATTACTACGAAGTTTGAATACGAATTTATCCTTCTTGAGCATAGCAAACGATCATCACGTCAAGTGCTGGGAAATTAATACTAATTGTCTGAGGTGGATGGGAATATTCGAAGAGAAGAATAATCAAAGATTGATAAAATATATGGAAATAAAGCATTGTAAGACCTATTATCTGTGTTTTCAATCAATCGACCTAATATTTCACACAAGCAAAGAATGAGATGATTTAGTAATAAGTAAATAGAACGATACCTATTGAACACGCAGCTTCATCTTCATCTATAAAATCCAGCCGATTATTCATAATACTTACCAAAAAGTACGAAACAATCCAGTCAATAATGCTGTACACAAGTGATCATAGCTATCCTATTCCATTTTGTTATACATCTAAAAGGGACCATTCAAGGGGATTTTGAAGAGTGAAGGTTAAAAGAAATAATAAATGTCTGAAAGAAAAAAAACTATATCTATTTAATAATAATTATCTCTTAAGAATATTTCTATTCTAATAATTCACACTAACTCATATAAGCCCATCGATTATTCACGATAGTAATACTAACGTCGCTGATGACAGTCAACATGATATCTTGGGAAGGCTTTCCAATGGAGATTCGTCTCGCGGTTTTGAAAGAGTTGATGCAGGATGCTTGTAGCTTGGCTAACTTCGCCACAGTGTCACGAGAGTGGCAGAAGATCATGGAGCCTCACAACTTCTCCCGGATTAAGCTAATGTCGGCACGCCTCGTCGATCCTGGTCAGATGTTCTATTGCAATAGGAGTCTCGTGCGCTACATTTGGCTTTGCTTGGAACTCCAAGAATATGATTGTACCGATTGTGACCCTCAAGATCCTGAGTTGTGGAGCCTAAGCAACGTAGACAACACCTTATAATCACCACAGCAATTCTAAATATCTTCACAACACTTCGCGTATGGGAACCAGGCAATAGCTTGCTACTAGATATTAGCGTCTACTCCCCCAGTGACTCGAAGCATTGGTTCAAATATCTGACCTTTGAGCCTGATGATGCTTTCGATATGTTTGACCGGAATCAACACACAGTGGCTTCAATGACGGTCAGACCTACTGACCACCGCCACGGATGGATTTCTGGTAGTCGAAATTCCATTCTATCCTCTGACGCCCTCGAAAAACCCTGTAGTGAAATCATGGGCGAGTGCCCATTTGATGATGAAGAACAAGAGGGTCAGTGGTGGCAGCAACTGCCATTAGTCCCGGCAGTAACAGGTGTGCTTCTTCGTCAACAGAGCCGCCGACGATGGAAGCCGCCCGCATTGGCACGTGATGCAATTGGTACACATGTTGGGAATATTATGAGATGCTGATTACTTGGACATATATCAAATCTATGCTTTATTACCTAGGTAGCTACACTATCCGTTTATTTTGAATCTATATTTTTCCGTGCTAGTATTTCTGCCTGCCATTAATTACCGTGAGCACTTCGTGGGCAATTAAATTGCACGCAAACGACTCTGCTTCCTGTTTGTCTTCTGCTAAAGATCGCAACATTATTGTATCTATGTCGCCTGAGCTGCTTTCACATAGCTTCGATTGCTCTCAAAAGACAATCCAGACCTCTATCACTGATTCCACTCTCTTCGTCTTCAGTCTCTGGGCCCTTCCCCTTCCCCTTCGCCCTAGCCTCCCTCAAACACCAAGCCACATCACTCAAAACACCCAATGGCAAATAAGTCCCCTTCTCCCCCCTAGCCCTCTCCAAACTCTCTCCAAGCCTACTAGTGAATTCCCATTCTCTCGCCGCCACTTCTGCTCTATCAACCACTTTCCGCGGGATCCCACACATGCTCGCACAGTGCATACCGAAACTACCTTCGGCAACACCATTTTCTAATTTATACAAAAACAGAACGCTTCTTGATTCATTGTCGACTTCAATTGCCATACGTTTATTGATGACTTCTGGATGAGAATCAAATTCAAGGGCTAGAGAGTGGTAATGTGTGGCGAAGAACCCGATACATCCGATATGAGATGCGACGTGGTGCAGAACTGCTTGGGCGACTGACACTCCATCGTAGCTACTAGTGCCGCGTCCGAGTTCATCGAGAATAACAAGGGAGCGGGGTGTAGCTTCAGAAAGGATTTTCTTGGTTTCTGAAAGTTCGACAAAGAAAGTGGATTGGGCGGCGAAGATATTGTCATTAGCGCCTAGACGGGACATGATACGGTCGACGGGTGTAAGAGTTGCAGATTTAGCAGGTACATAACAACCTAGTTGGGCCATTATTACTGCGACGCATGTCTATAATTTGATTGTTAGCACGCTTATTTTATGCAAACAAACAAGAGGCATACCATTCGAAGTATTGTGGATTTTCCGGCCGCATTAGCACCAGTGAGAAGATTGATATTAGGCGATTTACCACCAAGCTGAACGTCATTGGGAATGAAGTCCGTAACGTTTGGTAGAACGCAAGGGTGTCTAAGCTCTTCAAACTCAACTACACTTCGTTTGGAATCGACAAATTTGGGTCTACAAGACGTAGTACCTAAAGCTGAAGATGCAGCAGCAAGACTGACAAGACAATCAAGTTGAGCCACAACTTTCACAGCTTGAAGCCATGTTTTGTAATCTTCATCGAAACGTGCGTAGAATCTGCTTGCCACTTCCTTGACAATTTGACCATGTGTTTCTTGAGTCTCTTGGAGGTCTCGGATTATATTGGTAAGCTCTGGGAAGTAGTAACGCTTGAAACCAGATGCAGCAGACGTCACCTTCCAATCTTTTGGTACCTTGATAGAAACTGGTACTTGCAATTGATGGATTTCTTTGCCAATGCTCCTCAACTCCACCTTCTTCGAATCGAACTTCTTTTGGTATTTCTTCAACAATGACGCCAGCTCTTGATTGATCTCTTCAATACGATCTTGACTCGCATCGAAATCTTCTTCGACTCCCCTTTCTGGAACGAGAATTTTGTGTTCTTTTGCCTTTTTTCGGTCAAATGCATTCTTCCACCATTGCAGTGGCTCAGCAAGATCAGGTATTGACGCAACCAAACGATTGAAAATGCCATCGCCGCTACTATATTTGCCTAAGATGTCCTTTTGAATGTACTCTATTTGTTCAAACCCCTCCAATACTTTTACGAAATCTTCAGGTCTGCATGATCCAGCATGTATACGAGAAATCAAACGTTCTAGATCAGGCATCGAAGATGTTGAAGACTTAAATGAACGACTTAATTCATCATCTTTATTAAGCAAATCCACAGCATCAAGACGTTCGTTGATCCTCTTGATATCGGAAAGGGGGTGCGACACCCATTGTCGAAACAAACGCTTTCCAAAAGGTGTAGTGCAACGATCGAGGAGTGTGTAGAGAGTACCATCAGAGTTCCCATCGAATGTGTTAGAGAAGATCTCGAGATTGATAAGAGTCTGACCATCAAGTACAAGAGTTGTACCCTTTTGGATAGGATTGTACCAGGCGAAGTTGCCTTGTGTAAGCAGAGGTTTCTCAAGCTGAAGGACTTTCAAGTATTGGAAAAGAGCTCCAAAGGCGGATATTAACAAATCCTTGTCTCTAGCCTTTTCAAGCTCCTCGGGCCAAGTTTCTTTCCCACCATCAGCTGAAGTGAAGTAACCGCCGTAATCTAGCTCTCGGCGGGATTTGTCGGCGCTCAAAAATTCCTTCTCTGATTTCAAGTAATTCCAAATGGTTGTTGGGCCAGTATTGTTTTTCAATATACGGAGCACCTTGGTCGAAACACAAGATTTTTCAAGTAATAACTCCTGAGGGCGGGTTTGGGCGACAAAGGTCTCAAATTTGGTCAGATCTACATCATCGGTAAACTCGGTAAGGAAGAATTGACCTGTTGATGTATCGACAAATGATATACCAAATGCTGGCAAGTCATCATTTGTGGTGGACTCTTTGATAGCCACACAATATGTTGCCGAATCACCTTGTAACATACTACCCTCAACCAAGGTACCAGCAGTAAGAATATAAGATAGCTCTCGATGAATGATCTTATCTGCTTTCTTGCCTTTGCTAGCGGGACCTGTACTATCTTCTCGTTCGCGCATCTCTTTTGCCAAAGCCGACTCCTTCTGATCACCAACAGCGACTTTGTAGCCTTTGGCAAGAAATTGGTTTGCCCAATGCTGTAACGACATTTCTGGTACACCGACCATTGACATATTAACACGGTCTGTGAGTTTCAAATCGAATATTTGATGTCCAATAGTAGCATCTCTTTCGTATAATTCGTAAAACTTACCCTTCTTGAAGAAAAGTATGGTGTCCCAGCACTTTTGCTTTACTTTCCAGTATTGCGCCTCGAAGGGTGTGAAGTTATTGAACGCCATTGGCGGAATAAATAGAGTACGAGGATCATAATCAGGATGACCAGGAGGATTGCGGTCAATATCACGTTCATTCGCTAGCCACTCATATCTTTGATTTGGGTCGGTTTTGGATGCCTTCTCTTTGAATTTCTTTCCGCTGGAATTTGGGGTTCTCGAAATACTCGACGACTTGGCCTGCCGGGGTTGAATATTATCTGGATCGTACTTCCATTGTTGAGCTGTCGAGATTTCTGGTATTTGCACATCTTCATCTTCATCGACAGAGGAATGGGGCGGCAAGTTGTTGGATCGCTTTCGAGATGATGCCTTGGATGTTGGACGCTTTCTCTTTTTGGAAGATTTGCTTGGATCATCAGAATCGTCGTCGACAACAAAATCGTCCATTTCATCTATTATTCGTAAGTTACTGCTGACAAGACCTAAATATGACAGACTGACCATCATCTTCATCGGCGCCATCTGAGTCACCAACAAAGGTATCCTCATCATCATCGCTTTGAATCATCGGCTTCTTTCCATTCCTTCGTTGTGTAGTTCTCGGAGAGACATCTAAATCATCGTCCTCTGATTCGGCGTAGCTGACTACCTTCTTAGCAGCCTAGTAAACAAGGGTATTATTAGCTTGAGAGAACTTGCATCTGCGGAAAGGAAGCGCATGCCTTTCTTGAAGGGCTGCTTGTTAAAGCCAAACCATTAATATTCACAATCTGCTCCGCAGCACTTTTAGCAGCCGCCGGGGGCAACGAGCAACCGTCTACCTCAGTTGGAATACCACCGTTTTCATTCTCTTGTGAGCTATCTGGCTCAATGTTATCACTACTTGGAACTGGAGTTATGCTCTTCTGGGCGGGTTTCTTGAACTGGGGTCTCTTCACGGTGCTGCTGGGTTTCGGTGTCGACTTTGCACTATTGGCAGAGCCATTGGGTTGTAAAATACCGCTGGGTGAGCCTGTGGTAGTGGCGGGTTTCTTCGAAAAGAATCCTAGGATTGATGCTTGGCTCTTGTTTGATCCTATGCTTGAGTTTTGTTTCTTCAAAGTCGGAGGGCGAACCGGGGTTGTCTCATTGTCTGTATTCTTCACCATATTTGATAAAATGCGCCAGACTAAGATCTATGATAAGTCGACCAAAAAGGATATGAGTTGAGAAGGATTTGGTGTTATGAATTATGTATTTCAAAAAGTAATTTTTGGGCCCACCAATTCTTAAATAGAGATGGAACGATCAAAATGTGAATTCTGATATCAAACAATTGAAGAATGAATTCAATAAAAGTATTGAAAATTGGGAAGTGTCCCTGGTGGCCGCTCAAAGTGAAAGTGATAGGTAGAAGACGCGCAACGCGGATTAGCGCGACAAACCGCGAAATTAAGCACGTACTAACTCTTAATTAATATTTCGAAGTTTACTTGTAGCGGAAGAAACTCATCCCCTAAGGTGTCATTTATGGGTGCCTGATATAGCCTATGCGTTCAGTAAGAATATCAATAATTTCAAGAATAATATTATAAATAAAGATTCTTATATTATATATAAAGGTTAAATTTTATAAAAAAAAAGTAATAATAAATAAATTAAGTATATTTCTAAAACTTTTTCATTGAAAAAGAATTAATAAAAGATTTTATAAATATCATTTTAATCATTTTAATCATTTTAATCATTTAATCATTTTAATCATTTTAATCATTTTAATCATTTATCATTTAATCATTTTAATCATTTATCATTTTAATCATTTTAATCATTTTAATCATTTTAATCATTTTAATCATTTTAATCATTTTAATCATTTTAATCATTTAATCATTTTAATCATTTTAATCATTTTAATCATTTTAATCATTTTAATCATTTTAATCATTTTAATCATTTTAATCATTTTAATCATTTTAATCATTTTAATCATTTTAATCATTTTAATTATCTCAATCATCTTAATTATTTTAATCATTTTTCTCATATGAAGATGCTGAAACGTTCGCAAGCCGAGGTTGTCTCATTGTCTGTATTCATAAGCGCAGTCAATTTCTGCAGCAACTTCGAGCCATTAGGCTCGATAATGGTCTGTGATAGGAAGTTGCCTTTTAAGAACAGCTATCAACTTTACATTACTTCTCAAACTGTGTGCATCATCTGAATCTGGCGCAGTGAGGCAGGGCGAACGACAGGCTTTGACAATTCCAAATGGCGTATGGCGTCACCATGAGACTTGATACTATCACTAATATCCAGTAACTCCTTGATGATAACATTTCCTTGGCCGCAATGCTTCAATGATACAGAGTCCCAAGCCTGAATTACAAGGGGTCGCAAGGTCAACTCCCATGTTCCTCTGCACGTTACCACTGCAGGTTGCCCTCGCTTATTACGCTGGTATCTAAAGAGCATCGCTAACCCCTTCTCTCCGTTCCATATTTCCATTGTTTCAAGATTTGGCATGTTCGTAGCCGCCGCCGCTGCTGCCTGAAGCATATCATCCAACTCCGCCGAGCGCTCCCTTGGCACGAGCAGTCGTGAAGTCAGCGCAGGCCAAGTCAAGTTAGGCCAATTACTTCCAGGAAAGTTCTCGAGCTTTGAAAAAATGGCTAGCTTCTCCCATGAACGACATTGAGAGGTGTTCAAGTGTGAGACTGGCGTTAGCAAGCGCCCTACCCTTGTAGCTAGCTGGGTAAGTTTGGTCGAAATTCTCGAAGATGACGAGTCTCTGTAATTGAGAGCAAGAAAGCGATTCCAAAAGATGTTGTAAAGCTACAGAGAAAAAGAGCATTAGCAGGTCAAGAGTTTGACCTGAATATAGAAGTGGCGTAGAACAATGAATTAACACAGTAGCACTCACATTGGTTCGTCCACATCTGATGGATATTGAGCCATTCCCTCCAAGGCTCGTAATGAATTTCCTGGAGTCCAGGCAGAAGGGCAAACATACGTATACTAATTCCAATATCAGGGTTAAAGATTCCTTTTTGTCGGACAGGGAGCGAGGCAATGAGTAATTGTGGGAATGCGAGTAGCACATGAATTTTTAGAGAAGTAGAGAAACATATTCACTACTCTATCATAATAACGCAATCTCGATCTTCATTTTGATTATAGAGAATGAAATGAACGAAGTCTTTCTTTCCATAGCATTTTATATGGTCTGTCTCTCTTATGTTAAACAATACATGTAATGTAATGCGATGACCATGAATAGGGAGGGCTTTCTATCATTTTTTTCCTCTCCAGATGTAAGATCTTACAGTTCCTGTGATTACCAAGGTAATTACACTGGGATAGACTGTCACTAGGTAGGTATCTAGATGAAATCGTTAGATCATCAGTTCCGATGTCAGAAGTCTTTGATATTCAATGAATACTAGGTAATCAACACCATTCCATAACCCAGTAGTTGTAAATCTATCGGTTAACGTTCCCGTTTTCGTTCTCGGTTAGGAATCTCCTCCCCCTCCCTTCCGAGGTCCTCAGAGTCCTATCCTAATATTCACTCACTACCTTCTCAAGTAGAGACGAAAAGAAAACTCTCAGTCAGAGCTTTATTATCATATTACTCCAGAGAACGCAAGGAATGTATTTACTGAAAAGAATAAACAGAAAATGATCAATCGATCACCTTTAAAAACAACAACAACCACCGATCCGCTACCATTAACCTAATACAAAATGCGCGATATTCGTCCATTCTACGCTGATTTCTCTACAATAAACAATGTATATGATAGTGATATTTACATTCGGCCTATAGAAGAAAAGTGCATGATAAATAAATTCATTTTCATCGTACTAAACTAACTATCATTCACGTATATCTTTGCTGAAGAAACTGAGTTTCTCAAATCAGAATACTAGCCGTGTGAAAAAAAACAGCCTGACTTCATGTTTCGTATTAAGGGTATCCATCGTATCCATCATATCATATCATATCACATTATCATCAGCATCAGTCCCTCGTCTCTCAACTCATCCCATGAAATTTCAATCTCCATTACTTCCTCTCCTTCTCACTCTTTCGACTCCTGCTACTCTCCTCTTCCTTCCTAATCTCCTTCTCCCTCTGTCTGGCATCCCTCCTTGCTTTATACCCATCCCCATCACTACTTCCACTCCTCCCACCACCCTCCCTCCTCGACCCCTCCCGACTCAACTCCCTACTCCCCCCATCACCCGGCGTAAGTCCCTCCCCCTCCGCAAGAACCCTCCCATCCCTCGCCAACCGAACCTCCTTTCCCCTCTTATAACAATACCAGAACACAAACAACAGCACAAAAAGCGCCAAACTAAGCAGCACATTCGTTCCCATAAAAGCCGGCCAGCGCAATTTCAACGCATTGACAATCGCCTTGAGCATACCCACTACCGCGCCCGGTTTCGTAACCAGATCTTTGAGCGAAGAAGGCGTCAGGAAAGATTTGGCCGCAGCACCCATCCCGCCCGTTTGCGCCGCGCTCGCGGCATTCGCAACACTGTGTGCTTGGGCTTCTGTAGCGACGGCTAGGAGTTCGGGAGCGAGAGTGGTGGTGACTTTTTGCGGGAGTTGCGTGATAAGTTTTTGGAGGAAGGAGGGGAGAGAATCGTAGGATTTGGAGAGTGTCCCTTGGGAATCTTCGAGTAGATGAACGAGGTCATCGTAGGCGGTTGGAACACCGTTTATGAGGTCTTTGAGAATAAAGGTGAATTTTTGAACGAGGACTGTGGAATCGGGGGAAAGAGAAAATGCGCGATTGTTGGAGGCGGTTAGAGAAAGGTCGTCGAGAACTCGGGATAGATCGTCTTGTTCTCGTTGAGCTTCTGTGTCGGAGATGTTGGGATCTGGTTGAAGACCTGTAGCTTTGGCGTCCTTTTCCTGGAAAGAAAATGTTAGTTGTTGGTTGATGGAATAAAGGAGAATTGGATCGTTGGATTGACATACCTTTTTGCCTCTATGCAAGAAACTTAATCTCTTCCACTTCTTTGCCACTTTCTCGGTATTATCATCAATTTTCTCACCTCCCTCACCTACCTTCTTCTTTCCTTTTCCTTGCGCTTGAGTTTCATTCTCCCTTTCACCCCCCTCACCATCCTCATCCTCTCTCAAAATCATCTGCAACTCATTATTCCTCCACTCTCCCGCTTCATCACCCATTGTTATTCCCTCATTTCCCCTCTCACTAGGTCTAGCTGGTAACGTAGGTTTTCTCTGTGGGAGTGGAGGTGGAGTTCCCTCTGCACTTATAAATCTATGCAAGAAATATTCATCCTCATCGTTAAGAATCGGACTTGCGCCTCCTCTTCCCAAATCCGCAGATGGACTTTTAACTGTATTTAAACGACGTGGTTTTGAAGAAGTTGTCGGGGAAGCTGGAGTTGGTGATGCTAGAGGAGTGTTGGAATTGGAAGCTTGATCTTTCTTGTCGGCATTGTGCTTCTTGACTTTTTTGTAGGTGAAATATTCGAGCATGATTGCGATTCAAATATTCTTGTTTCGTTTTCTCGATGTCTTAGGTATGGATCTTCTTTTATCTTCTTTGATTCAAAGATATGAATATATGAATGTATGAAGAAAAGCTTTGCAAAAAGACAGGAAGACAAGATATCAAATATAAACTCAAAACATGGTCACATCCAAGGTCATATCTCCCTTGTGCAACACACGTTTTCTTTATTCACCACTCATCTTCATTTGCGATTCGCCATACCAAACTTCAATCCAGCTCCAGAAATTGAGCCCCAGCCACACGTCCGTCATATTCAACAGGGATTGGATGGATGGATATGGATATGTTTGAAACCCTGCTTCGCGCCCAAGCGATGGTTTGATATTTCTTCTCCATCAACGTATCACATGCTTTAATTCACTGTCAATGGTGAGAGCCGATACAAGCCACCTAGGCATCCCCTCCAAATTCAAGCCACACGTAGCATAGCCACATTTGTCCAGCGTCCACGGGTAGTATTGTCCCAACACAACGATCTTTTCTTCAAGAGAAAGAGTTCTATTACCCAACATCCCACCCAAAGCGAAAATCAGAAAAAGAAAGGAGAAAGCAGAATATCATAGAAGCATATTGTAGAAGAAACACGGATAGAAGCAAAGCTCAAGAACGAATTCCAAAGCGCCAGGTTGGTGGTTCGAGCCCACCCGTACATGCACAGGATATGTAAAAATTATAAGGTTCTTAATTACCCCACATTTCACAACTCCTTCCTCCAACACACCACACCTCAAAATGAAAACCAACACACCATTTGAACCACTATCAACAAGACAACCCTTCACCACCAGAAAAAGAAATCGAACAAAATTCCAAAAATTAAAGATCTCATATCTCACTCCCTCGGGTGGGCTCGAACCACCAACCTCTCGATCTCGATCACGTGACTTGTTACAGATAACAGTCGAACGCGCTAGCCAATTGCGCCACGAGGGATTATTGTTTGTTGGAGACCAATCACAATTTTGATAATATATACAGCACATTGTTGACTACACGGTTTTTTTTTTCTCATATAAAGGCAGACCACACGGCGATTACATAATTGAGGCTTTTTAGCCTTGATCTCGAGGCAGGAGCATCCCGAAGGTTCATCGTAGGGTCTGAAATTTTTTGGTTCCGGATAATGTGAATAGTATTAACAATTCGACTTTTTAAGAATTCCGCATTTTCAGAATAGCTGGAAAGATGACTGCAGCTGGTCAAGAGGACACATTATGTACAACAGGCGAAGCAAATATATGAATCGATTTATACCCAGGTGAACATGGAGGTGTCGAGTTGGTCTCTAAGTCACCATCTCTGGATTTCCGTCTATCTGATCTTTCTCTCTCTAACCGCCAAACATAACAAAAACGCCAAACTTGAGAGTCCCACACTCACTGCATGACTCGCTCCCAAACTTTTCACATATGCATCTATTACCTGGATCTTAATATCTCCCGGCAGGTCTTTCACGCTTCCTACATCTTCCATCACTTGTCTCACTATGGTTCCATCCAATTCTAACCCTGCAAGTGCTTCTCCCAAAGAACTGTTTTGAACTCCAGCACACAAGGCAACCCCAACAACCATACCGATACTAGACATCAAATACATACCTGCGGTTGCCATACCCATCTCCCTCTTTTGAACAGAAACAGTGAGGGCAATAAATGCGCAAGCAGCCGTTATTCCGAGACCAAAGCCACCTGGAAATATAGAGAGAGACGCCGCGAGAGAAAGGTGATTGCTATGCCATGTTGTGAGAAGCATAGTGTAGGAGAAAATAGATGAGATAGTAGAGAAGATCAGGAGGTATTTGTAATGGCCAGTGCTGATGATTGTTAGTATGCTTGATATATGAAATGTTAACAGTGATTCAATGGGCAAAGAACGAACCGAGTAATTAGCCAGCCTGCGAGAAGACCTCCCGTCGTATTACCAAACACAGCCGGAAAGAGATGAAGCCCAGCAATAGTATTAGAGCTGCCTTGTGTCACACGAAAATAGAGTGGAACAGAGTACATCATCTATGCGAGGTTAGTGATTAGTGCATCGCAAATAGAAGGCATAGAATGACTTACGCCAACTTGTGCACTGAGTTGCAACGCATTAATAGCATACGATGCTGCTACATCTCGTTGGACAGCAAGTGCTGGCGGGAATATAGGCTCCGCAGCGACTTTGACCTCATACGTCACAAATATAGCGCCAAGCACAACAGATCCCAACAACAACCCAAGAACTGTAGGGTGCGACCAAGGTAGTGCTTGTCCTCCAAGACTGAGAGAGCCGAGAAAAGCAGCGATGGTTCCAGTTAGCAAGAATGCTCCAACAAAATCAATTCGTCGAAGTTTTGAAGGCCCATCTTTTGCTTGGATGGGCTCATCAGATGATGATCGTGTTGGAAGTTTATATGCTACTAAAGCAATAGCGAAAAGCATCAGAGGTCCTTGTCCGATGAACGACCTGCCACGGATTGTTAGAGAAAAGATACAATAAGATTTTCAAACTGGAATGGAGAATTTACCAACGCCATCCTATTGTGTCTGCTAGCAGCCCGCCTAGGGGTCCACCGATACTCCTTCCAATCGTCCCAACGACATTGACATAACTTCTCCACGCGGCAACATGAATGAGAGGTACAAGATCTGGGCGAGTTAGTACAGGGTTGAGAAGGCTCAAATATGACTTTCATCACTCACCCACAATCAAAACAGAGACCATAACACTCATACCCGCACCTCCAATACCAGCTACTACTCTACCCATCACAGTCTGCCACATTGTTTGTGAAAGCCCCCTTTCAAAACATCAGTACAACACCTTCAAAATCTGAAAGTCACTTACGTCAAAACACATCCGATCACGAAGAACCCATATGATATCAAGAGAACTGGTTTCCTTCCGTATATATCACTGATCTTGCCGGTAAGAGGTTGGACAGCACACATCGCTAAAGAATAGCTAGTAGTCAACCAACTGGCATCACCCAGTGCCCGAAATTCGGAAGCAATGGTACCATATGTTGCAAGAACAAGTGTACCATCTGCATATGATATAAAAACACCTGGAAAAATAAGCACGAAGAAAGTCGATGAAGGAGTTGTGAATATGTACCAATCAGCAGAAGACTTATTATGATAGCAGCGCCCTTCGTGACTTTTCCCGTGGTTTCGTCTTGGACTTGGTCATTTTGTGCAGATTCCACGTCTGGAAAAATTGCGGTTGACTTGTAATTTGGAGTTGAAGCAGCGGTTACTGGTGAAAGTAATGAATCTGTTTCCGAGTATGATTTTATCGAATCCGCATCTTTGGATGACGCTTGACTCGAATCATCTCTAGGAACAGCATCTCTCTCATGCAATGCCATATTTCAGTATCCAATACTACCTACAACAACAATTCTTTTCTTATGATTCAAGCTATGGCAGACGTCAAAAGTTTAATAAATGCTTTCTCAAACTGCCCAGACCGACCAATGTTATGTTTCTAGGGCATTGACTCAATCCGCTGTCAGTCCAAGCCAAGCCACTGCGCCGTCAGCAACAGGGCCAATAACTCGGTCCCGGTTGAAATGAAAATTTGAAAGCTCATCATTCTGTCTAAAATCCCACCTTATCAAATATCCGAAATTTGATCTCACATATGGCTGCGGGAATCAACAAGAAACTCCAAACTCCCAATGAGAGATGTACGAAGTAAGTGTACATGAAGCCTCTATCACACGATAGGCTTGAATGAGCGGAAATGCCCTGTTGAATGAACCCTGAAGCCCCGCAATTTGATGATGAAAATAGGCACGGATCTCACGCCATACATTGGAGTTGAGGCTGCTTTAGCAATCACACAACGTCATGTCTCCAACTTTGCAAAGGCTTTTCCTATTTGTATGGCGAACATGATTTCGAAGCTTTAAAGCAGCGGGTATCCTCCTTGATTCACAATCATATCGCTAGGAAATCCCCAACCCAAAAGCATATGCCAGTTACCCGTTGTTGCGGACTCTTGGACGGCATGAGACTTGAGTTCCACTTCCGATGTGAAGAGTACTATCTACTCCACAGCGAAATGTGGAATGTGGGTGGGTCAATGATAGCCTCGACCGCATCTTGTCATGGCTGACTTCATCTCCAAACCTTCAATTGGAGCTGTATCGATTCTTCTCACTTAAATAACGAGAAGGGATCATAAAGACAATTCCTAGAACAGAACAAATTCAGCATGAAAGCCTCACCACTGTTTGTCCTAGGACTTGCTACAGTTTCTGCTGCCGCGCAAGCTCCAATTGGACAAAAGAATGATGGAAGGCCGAACATAGTGCTTGTTTTGACAGATGATCAGGACCTACACATGCAGTCAATTGATTATATGCCCTTACTAAAGAAGCATGTAATTGATCAAGGAACCTTTTTCAAGCGTCATTACTGTACTACTGCAATATGCTGTCCTTCAAGAGTCACATTATGGACGGGTAAGAATGCTCATAACACAAATGTGACGGATGTAGCACCTCCTTATGGTCAGTGTTCACCTCAGTCCCTCGGGTAGCCCGATAACTGATGTATCAGAACAGGTGGATATCAGAAATTCGTTGAGCAGGGCTTCAATGGTGCATATCTCCCAGTCTGGCTTCAAGATGCTGGATACAGCACTTTCTACACGGGTAAACTTTTCAATCATCACACTGTGAGCAATTGGAATAAACCCCATCCAGCTGGATGGACTTCGTCCGATTTTCTTTTGGATCCGTTCACATATCAATATTATAATTCTACATTTCAAAGGAATGAACATCCGCCTGTGAGTCACGAGGGCGAATACTCAACAGATGTCCTTGCGCAGAAGGCATACGGATTACTTGATGAAGGAGTAAAATCCGGAAAGCCATTCTTTTTGGTCGCAGCGCCAATCGCCCCTCACGCGAATGTTGACCCGGCTGCATTTAAGCCTGGAGAGGGAATCCTGATGACGGCTCCTATTCCTGCTGAGAGACACAAGCATTTGTTTCCTGGTGCAAAGGTTCCAAGGAATGCTAATTTCAACCCAGACAAGGTAAGTTATGTATTTGTTGAAAAAATCTCAAGCTAAACCTTTCATATAGCCTAGTGGAGCCTCATGGGTAAAACATCTAGATCAACTAACTGACAAGGTTATCGCATATAATGATGAATTCTACCGAGCTCGTCTTCAAACCCTCCAAGCGGTAGATGAACTTATCGAAGGTCTTGTTGATCGATTGACTGATTATGGTATCCTTGACAATACATATTTCATCTTCTCTACCGATAATGGCTACCATATCTCTCAACATCGTCTAGCCCCAGGAAAAGAATGTGGGTTTGAGGAAGATATTAACATTCCTCTCGTCATCCGTGGCCCTGGAGTTCCGCAAGGAGAGGAAACAAGTGTTGTGACTGCGCACACAGATCTTGCTCCTACGATTCTCAAAATTGCAAATGGGGATTGGAAAAGAAAAGATTTAGACGGGAGCGTAATTCCCCTCGATTCACAAGGACTCAAAGATGCCGAGAATACCAGACAGGAACACGTGAATGTCGAATTCTGGGGAAAAGCACTTCCTGAAGGTATCCATCGATTTTCTCTCGACGATGGGAAGGTCGTCTATTATGGTCCCAACAACACCTACAAAGCTCTGCGTATAATTAGCGATAGCCATAATCTCTACTACTCAGTTTGGTGTACCAACGAACACGAGCTCTACGATTTAACCACCGATCCGCATCAAACAAACAACATTTATCCTTCCTCATATATTGCAAGCGCTTCCACACATGGCAACCTCAATCTTCCCAAGCTCATTCCCCGCCTCGATGCGCTTCTCATGGTAACAAAATCCTGCAAGGGTAACACGTGCGTACAACCTTGGTCGGTGTTACATCCAGCCGGAAACGTGAGAACACTTGACGACGCTCTATCTCCTCGCTTCGACACATTTTATGCAGAAGACATGGCAGAAAGAGTAGTTAGGTATGACAAATGTGAATTGGGATATATTTTAGATAGTGAGGGGCCTCAGGAAGTATTTGCTTTCCAAGAGGATGGGGATAAGTGGGAATTGTAAGGTTATCTTGTAAGCATATTTCTATTGGTCTGTACATATCATGTTGTACGTCACTTCGAGACACGAAGGCGTTGGATTGAAAAAATAAAATGAAAAGTCAAAATTCGATACATCTCCCTCTTCTCCAGCAATCAAGATTCTCTGAACAATTCCAATTCCAATTCTCAAAATCCTCTCTCTCCTTCAAAATAGAAATGAAGCAATCAACATGGAAGTGCATGTGAATGGCTTTGATTGCAATTGCTTTTTTCGCTTTTTTGATTAGTTCATGGTAGAGAAGAAATATAAAGCCGATTCCTTTGATGAGACTATCAATTATTTTATGTTCTGTTTATTCCATTGAATAGGAAGTTCAAATTCTAAGTCGTAGAATAGGTGATTTGATTCGTGATGATAGTGGTTTTGTCAGTGGGAGTGGCTTTACGAAGTAGTTATATGATACTAAGAAAGTAAATCCATTATAACCTTTAATATTCAATCGTTTCATTATTTCGGATTAGATCTTGCTCTGAAATGGGTAATGCAGAAAAGATAAATAATTGCGGGGTTTATAGAGAACGTAAAAGTTTCGATTGTATAGAACTGGTTATCATGCAATTCACCTCCTCCCTCTTTCCTCATTCATCCGGACTGACATACATCACCGATAGGCCTCGCCTTTTTCAATCGATAGAGCAAAAATGAAGCAAGCAGAATTAATGTCACAGGCATCCATAAATTCCTGACAAAAAACAAAAACATCGCAATCACCAACCCTCCTATGGCCTGACGTACACGAAATTCATCTCCTTCACGATGAATATCAAATTTCGCAATCATTGTATATCTCGGGATTGGGTCCCCATTCTGGGTCGTAGCCCACCATGTATAAGGCCATACAAACGCAAAGTACCACGTGAAGACAGCCCAAAATATTGCCAACAAGCAGAGCCCACCAAACCAATGCCGCCATATGTGACAATTGGGACACTCATAGTTTTCGGGGGAAATGATGTTCTTGATTCCTTCGTTCCGAGCCGCAACGCGCAGAGTCTCGACTCTTAAGGAGGGCAGCGGACGGATGTGCGGGTGTCCGCTTGTGCTTTCACTTCTGGGGTAGGTGGGCGTGTTGGGAGTCCAGGGAGAAGAGGGGGAGAAGAGAAATGAAGGCGACGAGGCGGTCCAGGTAGGAGCGGAAATCACGCGTGTAGGAAAGCGATGTCCACAACTATACGCAATGAAGATTTTCAGCTCCGGATCGTCGTTCTCGGGATGATGGGACGGGTAGATGGGAATCCACGAAATGGGCTTCGGACCTTGCCAATTCCACTTCCAAAAAAGCCAGGAGGGGGCGGGTTTGGGACGTCTTTTGTGGACATAGTAGTGCCCTTCTCCAGCTACATTTCCTGATTCGTCTGCGGATTTTGCGCGGCGAAATCGCCAGGTCCACGGCTTGATGTAGCTTACTTTGTGCGGTTCTTTATAGACGTAGAATTTCTTTTCTGCTGTTCCTGGCCGTGCTCCAGGCGGCGGTCTGGGATCGGGGATATCCGCGGCGCCAGATGGCGCACCGAGACCTCTCACATCGAAACGAGCTTTCTGCGCAGCATTCCGGTTGAGTTTCTCTTCTATTTCCCGCGCTTTTATCTCGTCTGTAACTTTTGCTACTAATTAGCTCTAATACCCTCCAAATTTTTTAAAACATTCAGACTCCTTTAATCGATTCTTTCACTCACTTTCCCTGCCTTTTCCTTTTTTTGCTCGGGCAATTTCCTCTCGTTCGCGCCTGCTTTCCTCAGCTCGGGCATCCTTAATTCTGCCATCAGATTCGGTAGATTCAGAGACTTCCGTAAGGGGATCGGGAGTTGCGACGGGTGAACCCTCCTCTGTGGAGACCTCCTCGTGCGCAGGAACATCTTGACTTTTCCCAAGCTCTTCTTCTTCTTTCTTCTTTTTTCTGGAAGTTGCATCTTCAGATACATCTTGTCCTGCCGTTTCTCCCCACGCACTCCGCTCTCGAAGATTGTCTTGCCATGCTTCTTGCCCTTCTCCAAAGCTGTGGTAGGCTGATGTGTAAGCAGACTTGGAACTTTCTCCTTTTTGTGATCGTCTCCCTAGGGTACTCATGATGTCTATTTGAAATTTTGGCGTATATTTCTGATAGGATGATTTCCCTAGTACTGACGAATACTTAAAGCGAAGTAAAAGTAGTTAACATTTGGGATCTCAAAGAGAAGCTACAGCTATGGGAAACTCCACCGGAAGAAGATGTTCTTTGTAGTGTAAATCGCGTCTTTGGAAGCGAAAAGAAATTCGGCTATTAGACGTTTGCGTTGTCGAGTTCTTTGTTAGAATTATGCTAAATAATTACTAGTCGATTTCTCAAACAAAGCAATTGTTCTCTCAGATTTACATTTGCAGGAAGTAGTAAGTTTATCATTAGAGAAAAAAGTAAAAAGACATAAGTAACTATATACAAATTGATCAATTGACACTCTATTCTCCGTGCGAAATAGAACAGCACAATAGAATATCACGACTAATCACTCTCAAGCCCTAAATAAATTGAAGCTATTCTACTCTTATGCCCTATTATAGATACTGGACTACAAATTTTTGAAAATTTACAAGGCACAAGAGTAAAATTTTGAATTTCCTAGAGTACGAGAGTAATTCATTACAAAACACAGCAAAGTGAACAGAGCAAGCTAACCCCCGCGCCCCCTTCCAATCAAGACAAAAATCGCAATAAATTAGATTAAAATGTGGAAAATAAATTCCAATTACCTATCTACCTAGGTACTCATAATATCAGAAGATGAATATAAATTACTCAAATCAAACAACATTTCGAATCAAACCCCGCAGAAAAATCCTAGTGTCATGTTTTTGGTCAAGGGGTTGTGTAGGTACTGACTGTAAAGATCTATATCATACTAGTATGTCATATGGTATAATCTTACAATGTGCAAATCTGATCGTATCAATATGATATGATATGAAAACTTCTTCTAACGCCCTTGAATAGGTACTAGTGTAGGGGAGAGTACTTCATTCTGTTTCTCCTTTTTTTATGTTGAAGGATTCGAGGCTGATGAATTCTAAAAGATAGATATGAAACAGGAAAGGGAAAAGGAACATACGGGTTCTAAACCAACGTGTCAAATACACATCTCAATAATTCATTTATCAAGTCACGACAGCACATGCTGCCGATAATATTTTTGATAATTTGAATCATAGATCTTAGTGGAAATCACTCACCTGATCAGATCACTCACTTGCAGTGCACATCAAAGAAAATAGACTAGAACATAAAACAACCAAATCTTCCCCCGCCCCTACACCTCCCTCAACCACCCCTCCACCGCCTCCCAAAACGTCTCAAAATCCTGAATCTGTGGACTATGTCCCAACCCCTCAAACTCCACCAAATCCATCCCTGGTACTCTCGCCGCAACCTCCTTCCCCAGCACCTCATAATGCCCGACAACCGCCTGCACACTCGCCGGCGCCCACGCCTTTCCTATCGCCGTATTATCCAAATTCCCCACCACGAGCAAACTCCTCATCGTCAAATTCGGCAGCTGATACACGATCGGCTCCACAAAAACCGCATCCGTTACTAATGCCATATCCCACGCAAAGGTGCGTCCCTGCGGTCCCGTATACACGTCCAGAAGCATATTGACCCATTCGTCGTAAGCGGGATCCCAGGTCCCACCATAGTAGGTGGATTTCTGATACGTCATGATGCTGGTGTAGGTAGTAGCGAGCTCGGTGGTGAAGGTGAGGTCGGGACGCTGGTAGGGGACTCCTAGGGCCTGCCAGTCTTCGAGACCGAGAGGGTCGACGAGGATGAGGCGCTGGGTTTGCGAGGGGAAGGTGAGGGCGTAGCGAGCAGATATCATGCCGCCCATGGAATGACCCATGATGATTGCGGAGGTGATGTTGAGGGATTGGAGGAGAAAATTCGTGTTGGTGGCGAGTTGGTGCAGGGAAAATTGATAGTGCATTGTTTTTGAGGATTTGCAGAAGCCGATTTGATCAGGGATGACGACGCGGTAGCCGATGGAGGAGAGAGCATGAGCGGTCGCGTTCCATGTTGCGCCACAGAACATTTTGCCGTGGAGGAGAACGATGGTTCCAGCGTGGGATGTGGTGTTGGAGGGAGAAACATCCATGTAGGCCATGGTTAGATTTTGCTGTTGCGAGATGAAATGGTAGAAGTGCACGGGGTAAGGGTATTTGAATGCCAGACCACCTGGGGCTGGATCCTCGTGATAGCGGGATAGTGTTGTGCTTCTGACAACAACTACGAAGCCAAAGATCAGAAGCAGAAATTTACCGAGGGAATTTGCCATTGTGAAGTTTGAAACTCCAAAGATTCGAGTGGGGAATATTGATATGAATCATTCATGATTTATACACAAGACTAGAACCACAATATTCGGGCCCTTTGACAACAAACTGGGGTAGCTTTTAATCGGAGTAAGATCTCGCCGACGTAATCACCACCAACGAATGAAAGTGCACAGGATCTTCCGAGACAAGTAGGATATCCATCCCACCTTCTATATTCGTCAAGCATCATGCACCATGCAACGTATCGTCATCATTGGGATAACCGTCGAGTTTACCCCCCAAAATATCACTGGTGTAGAAGAGAATTAAATAGACCTCACTTGTCACCCAGCCGAGCCGTGCATATGGCAATATTGTGATACAAAGAATCGAGTTAATCCTCCAGAATACTACTGGCATAAAGAATACTAAATAGACCTACCTCACTCATTAATTATCCTGGCCATGCATACATCACCACCACAATCCACAGAATGGTCTCCAAAATCCAAATACGACAACTTCGAGTCAGCATACCGAGCACCATCCTTACATCCAACCCCATCAAAACAGAAGCCTTACCAACGTCTATTGCAGGGTTCGGCTATGAGTACGGTATATGAGTTATCCGGGGTAAATCTGACCGGCATACAACCCTATAAGAGAGAGTCGTTCGGGACCGAGAGGATATACTCCACTACCCCCCTCTACTGATCCTACAGTCACCAATTTCCGATTGAACTCCCTCATTACGATAACCATCTTCAGTCCCAACAATAGAACCTTCTACGTTTTGAACTCTTTCATGTCAAACTTCCTGACGCATTGCACCAGAATAAAACTCTTCATCCAATTGCCAATCTCGAAGATCATCACTCATTCAAAATCCTTTTCAACTATATAATCAAGCTGTGATATAATACAACCCTTGAAAAGCATCAAGATGGATTTGATTTCTATTTCAAACTCCATTAGCCATCCAATATCCAACAATATAAACACCATCCCGATATCTTTCCACCACCATCTATACATACCTACATACACACGCACACAATAAAAAATAAAGACTCCAAGCACAACACAACACAAATCAACCCAAACCAACCCATCCCTTCCACAAAAACATCCCCAAAAACTCCCTCTACTGACGGAATACATAATTTCTCAAAGCAAACCAAAGAAACCCAAATAGCCCCAAATAAAACCAACTCTAATAAAAATAAAACATATCCACATAAACACCATACCCCAACACATACAAATCCCCCAAGCTTTAAAACCCAATGAAATAAATCCCTTCAGAAAACTAAGTACCCGTATAGAACAATGCCATGCTTCCAAATTCCAAATTCCAAATTCCAGATTCCAGATTCCAGATTCCCACCTACTAGTACTAGGTATCTATCATACAGCCAGCCACTCTCCAAAAACATGACGAGAGAGAGTAGCTAGCTAGATGGACGAGGTAACAACTTTGTACCAATCACCTAGTATATTCGTTACATTTGTTACATTTGTGCATTCGTTACACTAGCAACGCTCATTCTACATTCTACATTCCACAACACAACACAGACATCAGAGTAACATAATACCTCTCTACATCCATATCCATCTCACATTTACATTTACATTTACATATACATATACATATACATCTACACAAATAAAAATCCTCACATTCCAGTCATACTCCAAAATCAAGTAAATAAATAAATAAATCATACATACTCATCCCATTATTCTCAAAGAGTAAAAGTAAGTACAAGAGAAAAGAATCCTCACCATCACCTAATCCATCCACTTCACACACTCAACCTCAAATATATATATCCTCCCTCTCCCTCAACTTCATTATCATTAAACATAAAATAAATAGAAAAACAAGTTCCCATTCTCATTCCTGGCGGGCGAACCAGGATTTCTCTCCAGCGAGAGACTTCCAAGCCTTACATTCTCAACCCTTGTATTCTGGTGAGTATAATTGCCACGATATCGAATAGATATTCAAAGCATACACAGCTAGAATTTCCGTTCCAGATTTCCCGATCCAAAATTTCTCAACCATTAAATGATCCAAGCAAGCAAAAGCTCGTAGTTTAGACAACAGAAGAGTTAACGGGAACAGTACCCGTGTTATTGAATGCCGGATCATTCACCGCATGGTTTGAGTTAACTGCAGTGGCAGCTGGGGTATTCTGTCCTTCGCGATAGCCAGCATTGTTCGTAACCGGCACATGTGCACCATCATGATGGGCACCATTATGATGACCACCATCCTTATCATGGAATGTACTTGGCTGCTCATCGTAATCCCTAATATGCAGACCCAGTTGCGCAGGATCGATATTACGATGGCCAAACAGCAAGATAGCACCAAAGCCAATCTTGGCAAGGACATCGAGAACGCCGTAGAAAACTGCTTCCGAATCGGGTGCAATGACGTTACCACCCTCGGAAAGACCCCAGGCGATAGGGTAGAGGAACCAGAGGAACATGGTGACGCCTCCACAAGTCCAGTATACTTTGTTCACTTCGGTGCCTAAAGCTTTGGCATGTTGGGCTCCGACGAAGAGAATGTTCCATGCAATGCCAAAGAGAGCTGCCATTGCGAAGACGAAATATCCCCATTTATAAGAAGATGCAACGAGAGCACCAACGAGGCCAGTGATAATCATGACCTCGTCCAAAAAGATTGTGAACAAGATGGTTGGCCATGGAAGACCTGCAGTCAAGAGGATATCCAAGAGTAAAAGCTGAAAGTAGGATTATTAGCACTTGACCATATAGGAAGGCAACAGCAGGCAATCTTACAGGAGTTGTGATAACCCAATCAATATATCTCACGTAGAAGATTTCCCGATATACACCACTGACTTTAGGATCGCTACGTTGGAATTCCTGAATGATGGAAGCGTAGCCCAAATTTGATGCCATGGTAAAGTATGCAATCGAGGCCGTCATAGTAATGGCCGCAGTAATGTAATGGAAAACACGCTTGCTTCGTGGGACTCGGAAGCTCATAGCCATGAAAATTATAGTTGCAAAGGCCATTGCAGCAGTAATGGCCCAATACACATCACTGCCACGGGTTGTGATGTTGATATCGGAATTCGCTGGGTAGTGAAAAACATCTGGATTTGCGTGCAATGCACCATTGGCTCGTTTTTCAATCATATTGATCGAATGTATGGATATCAATAAGGAATTATTTCAACAACAAACAATATGAAGAGAAGTATATATGAGAATCAAACAGAAATTTCGATATGTAAGATTGAAGTATATATATGTACAAGTCGCGAATTGGATGAAGCGGCTTATAAAGAACTTCAAGACTCAACTAACTGTCAAATCTTCGATCATACTATGATCAGCGACATCGACATCATACAACTGCCGACGCTGCCATCGATATTTCATCGGGATTTCGAAATCTAGATGACAAGACGCGCGCAATAAAACAAGAATCGGCACATAAAAGCTTGATTGGAATACAATAAAGCTTTGCCATATAGCTCTACTGCATATTTCCCACACGAAAACGAGGGGAGAACAGAGAATTTGTCGTCAACTATGCATACTTAATTGCACCTATTTCGGCTAGAGAAATTTCTAGTGGCTAGACCTACAGCCCTTTGAGGAAATGATAGCAGCAAATGTGTCATCCATTTTGAATTGATTCGATGACTTGAAAATGTAACAACGATGACAAGATGAAGGAAATTTTCCCAGGGGTCCGAGTACCATTAAAATTCCTACATACCTACAGTATTACCACCAGTACCTACCTATCGTAGCGAATGAGTGATATTCTCGGTTGACAGTCGGGATTGGATTAGGATAGAGGTGTCATAGACTCATAGACTTTGACGTAACAAGTGCACAGACTTCGATACTCAATCCCATCATGGAAAAATCGTAAATCTCAATCGTTTCCTTTTCCATCCCGCAAAAATAGATCCACTCGAGCCACTAAAACAAAAGCTTGTTTTTGATCTGTGACTGAAACGTTCTAGACCTATGAAAACATCGAAGAACGTGCATACCTATTACCTACCTAGGTAGGTATACGTATCTTTCTACAAATCGTTCAATCTCCTCAAGATCGTAGTGCGACCTTCATAGTTCGAAAGTAAAAAAGTCATCTCAAGTTTTCAACAAATAGAAGTCGCTCCCGTCTCTTCCGAGGCTCCGAAAATAAAAAGTCAGTACACCACATGAACGAATTAATCATTTTCAAAGGGTATCATCGGATGTGTGACTCCAACCACTCGATCGATGTCTTGACATGAACCTTGAAAAAGGGCATTCCGAGGGCTCTCTGGCAACTGAGGGGTTAAACATCTGATCAAAAGGAAATTGGACGCCAGATTTTCAAATACTGAAAGCAATGATAATCCGAATGGCAGTTGAGTGGGCTGACTCGCATTCGAACTTATGACGAGGTGATACAACGAACTTATGACGAGGTGATACAACGACCTATAGACAAAGTAGACAATTCTGCATCCGGAAGAGGCAGGTTAGATACCGACACTAGTCTTTGCGGTCCACTACAGAGTAGAAGCTACACAGGTCATAATCTTATCTTGACTTACCTACTGATTAATCAATTTTGATGATCTTGAAAATGGATCCGACAACAAAAAGATGGATATCTGAAATTGTGACAGCAATTACAACGCTTTCTCGGTTCCCCATGTTCTCTTCATCTCTCCATCCCACTGAACTCTCAAATTACCATTAATGCACCCCGTCATAAATATCAGCACCATCAACGCCAATACGAAGATCCCAAAATTACTTGAAACGGTTCCTTGCTTAACAATTCTATCCAGGTTTCTCGTCCCTTTCCCTTGCACAACCCCCTCATCAGAAACCACGTTGCTTTTATCTTTCCATGGACACTCCATTCTCAAGTCGTCCAAGATTTGTGTACTTGTAATCTTTGCCCCACCCAGAACTATAGGTACACCGGTTCCTGGATGCGTTGATGCACCTACAAAATATACACCCTTAATCTCGGGATGTTTAGTTTTGGGGCGAAACGCGAGGACATTAAAGAAAGAATGAGAAAGCCCGAGGATTGATCCTTTATCCAAATTAAAACGCGATTCCCATGATGTAGGCGTATTAAGTTCTTCATGAACAATCAATGACTCAATCGGCTCGCATTTCGTTCGTGATTCTATCGTTTGTAGTATTCTTCGGCGAGTGGACTTTACGATAGACTCCCAGTCTTGTTCTTTTGGAATACCAGTACCAGATGTGGCAGAGCCATCGCCTTGAGGACGATTGGACGTGGCCGAATTGAGAAGGTGGCCAACGGGAACGAGCACTACAATGGAATCTTTACCTGTCGGGGCAGCGGTTGGATCAATTCTCGAGGGTACGTTCACATAGAACGAAGGCTCGTCGGGAATGGACTGCCTATCAAAGATAGAGTCGAATGATTCACGATATTCATCTGCGAGAAATATATTGTGGGCATCAAGTTGAGGAACTTGCTTGGAGAGAGCCCAGTAGAAAGAAATGGAGCTACAAGAGCCCGTTCGTTTTTGTAAAGATTTGGCGTAGGACGTGGATTTGGAGGTTGGGAATAGATTATTGTAGGCATAGACGAGGTCAGCATTAATAACGACGAGATCTGCATTAAGCTTTTTGCCGGAAGATAGAAGAACTCCTGTTGTAGTTTTGCCGTCATGAGACATTAATACCGAATCAACTGGTGAATTGAGTTGTATATCGACACCTAATCTCTCGCATATGCGGACGAGAGCCTCAACGACAGCATGAAACCCCCCTACCGGGTACCAGATGCCTTCAGCAAGTTCCGTATATTGAAGAAGGGAATATGTGCCAGGAGCATCGAATGGAGACATTCCCATATACATACTCCCGAAAGTAAAAACTCGTCGTAGCCTCTCCGTCCAAAAGTACTTTGAAGCTCGAGAATATATACTTTCGAAAGGATGAAGAGCAAAGACGTTGAGAAGGAAGCTAGGCCGCAGCATGTTGAATATCGATGTAAAGTTCTTGTGTAAAACCTCTCGCACGCTCAATTCATAATGTCGATGAGCTTCTCCAAGCCATTGCAGATATCTTTCAAACCCATCCTTTCCTTCCCATTTCTCAATCTCTCGCTTCATTACACTCGCATCCGTACTCAGTTCAAACTTCTCTCCATCTCCAAACCACAAATTGTAATTAGGGTCGCATTTTAGTAGTTCTACCCCTTCGTCTTCGAGTGAAGTGTCGAGATCATGGAATGTTTCTTTGAACATCTTTGGTAGAAGTAAAAGGGAAGGCCCTTGATCGAATCGATATCCATCATGATGAATTAAACTGCATCGACCGCCCGTAAAGTTATTCTTTTCGAGTACTGTGACAGAGAAGCCTGCTTTTGCCAGTCGTGCTGCCGTTGCAATGCCACCGACTCCGGCACCTGTTGCCCAAAAGCATTATTAGTTCACGAACTACCTACCAGAGTTTGAGATAACGTGCATGAGAAGAGGGAAGAGGGGTAAAACGCAGAGGTAAATTGGATTAGAACTCACCAACTACAATGGCAGTTTTCTTCGTTTCTGCGATCGCCATTACAATTTTCTGGTGACGGAATGGGAATATGTATATGGTACGAAGACCAGTATAACACGAGATTATTCACATGTTGAATGAATAGGTCGTGATTACCTATCCAGGTAGTACGTACCTACCGAGTAGTACCTAGTACCTGAAATGGGTCGATAAGAGATAATGCTTGGTTTTACTTCGTGCATTCCGAGAGGTAGTGCAAGATCGAAGTGTCATCCAATTTTTGAGTGTGCATCGTCAATTGCCATATCTCCATTCGAAATGGTCCGAGCTCAAACCCCTCGGATGCAGGTGCCAAGCCAAATCACTCGATGTGTAGGTATTCGTAGCATGGAACAAAACATCAACTTTATATATTACATAACAAAACTACATTTAATTGCTGAAAATGCCACGCCGGTGTTTCCGGAGTACAATTATATAAGATTAATGGTATTTCAAAACGTATCAACCTTGCCTCAATGCCTTCCAAGCAACTCCTATGCGCCGCAGTTTCGGTACTGTTGCCCGACCTTTAGTGACTATGTACTCATTCTCTTCTAGGACTCTTCCTATCTCAACATAGCTTTCAACAGCAACTCTCATTGACATTCTGGCATCTTCTGGGATTTGTTCGATAGCAGGGCGAGCCTCCTGATAAATGGCAAACCCCTTTTTTAACAATCTTCCTCTCAGTTTGTCAATGATTGGCCCGCTAGGATTCTCCACAACGTCCTGATGTTTTATCCCTTCTTCCTCGAGCCAGGAAGTTGGAAGGTAGACTCTTCCAATCTCAGCATCTGTTGCTACATCTCTACAAATGTTGATATACTGTAGAGCGATTCCCATGCGGGCCCCGGCATGAATTAGCTCGTCACGTCTGTGTGATAAGACAACAGCAGAACTATGATAGAAAACTAGTTCCAAGCACATCTCAGCTACTGTCCCAGCAACTCGTCTGCTATATATCGTAAGATTATGCTCATCTCTGATAGGAGATTCACCGGTATTTCTGTAACAATTTGTTTGATGAAATGTTAAATCCGTCTTGAATCCTTCCAGTAACTCGTACAAAGGCTTGGAAGATAGAATGTGAGTTGGTAAAAGGCGAAGTGTCCGATATAAAGATGGTGGAAAGCTACCTTGAATGTATTTATCAATGTCAGAACGGCACAAAGCAGCCACACTGGCCGTTTCTTTTGATGCATACACGAGGTCAAGGTAGTGACTAAGTTTGGCGATCCATTCCCGAGCCTCAGAATCAGTGTTGTTTGGATCATCAACAAGATCATCAGCAACTCTACAAAAAGAGTATCTAATCTAAGTTAGCAAAATTCTAAAGCAAACGTCAATAAAGCACTGTAAGAAAGCAATACATACAACAGAATCAAGTCAATTCGAAGGCGGCCGTGAAAGACGGAGCTTGCCATATAGAAACTTCTGCTCTTTCGTCTCAATAGCTCCGCAGCCTCTTGAATACCTGCAATTCGAAGGTTATCGTACTTGCATGTGTCTGTTAAAAGTGCACACACCAGCATTTTGGGGGAAGGACATTCAGGAACAGTCGGAAACAAGGTAGGAAACGTAAACAAAATAGCCAATGCATGATCGAAAGCGACAAGACCAAATACAATGAGTATGTTGGTTGCAAGAAAAAACACAGCTTCTTCTATGTCAAGTCCATCCCACAAGTGCAAACCTAATTTTGTCCCTGTTTCGATGCTCCACGTGCCTCTTTTCAATGCCAATGTATCAACTATCCATAGATATAAAGTGGATAGAGTAATTGGCAATAGAGTAGTTGTGTAGGGAAGTCTGATCAAGAATGCGTGAGATAGACTCCATAGTAGTAGGGCAAATGGCCCTGCCCAAGCCAGAATCAATCCTAAATACGTTCCTCTGGCATTTTGCACAATGAGGAAGCCTCCTGTTAAGATCAGAGATCCAATGATGAGTTGGCCCGAATTTCGCGCAGATTTCAAAGAAATCGGCAGAGCCAGCGGATCCCAAGGTGTCCGTTTCTTTTCACCCGGACGTTCCCAGCCCCCAAGATAGGTCGAATGAAAGACTGGTTTGCTCAAGAGCAAATAAAGAAGACTAGTATTGTATGTCTGTATTACAAAGAAAAATAGTTCTTCGGCGGGGATCAAGAACAGTTTAGGACCAATGATCACATTAGGTGGATATGTCCATATTTTCCGCTTGATGAGATATGAATCCCAAGGAATGGTTGAAACGACAGCAATGGCTATGAGGAATAGAATCTTGTAGATATCTATACGCTGGATGAAAGGTCGATAAATGAATGTCAAGACGATGGCTGGCGGGATATTATATTTGAGATGGCTTGATCATGGTCAGTTTCCCAATCGAAATAGGGGCTATTAATGTACTCACACTAAGGCATATTCGAAGCCCATTTTGACGCGGGGAAAAGTTAAAATTGATGGTACCCAGATCTGCAGAATGTAGACATCTCTATACAAAACCCAAGACTAGAGACTCTATCTAGACTCCAGAGATGGAAAACCGATGAAGTGGTGCGAGGAGACTAAGAGGTAATATGGGATGAGAAGAAATTTCTCACTAATTGGAATTGAATGAGCAGAAGTTGGAACGGAAGTGGCATCCCAGTAAAGCAGGCAAAGCTGGTAAAACGGAAGAAAATTAGTAGGTAGAGGCAGGTAGGTCGTAGAAACCTAGATTTGAGGCTTGGGCAATCCCGCTCACAGTATGTAGGTATGTGTGTATGGTATTTACGGTTACGGGAAGCGGCTCATAATGGTTCAATGGCGAGGAGATTAGTTACCTACCAAGTAATAAGTAGTATTGCGGTACGTTCCGGTTTATTGATACTATCGTATACAATGCTATACTACTAGGTATACTATACTACTCTCAACAAAGTAGACTCGAGGTAGACTAATAATAACATCAGTGTTGTTGTTATTAGTCTGTTACGAGTCTAGTCATAATGTTGGCTGAATCATCCCTACGCTAATAATTGTTCGAATGTCAGATTCTCTCCTGCACATCTATCATGATTCATTTGCACCTATCATCAAAACAATACTAGGTCGTAGGTAGGTGTCTGCTCGGTAGATAATAGATAGCCTTGAGGATGAATTGATGGGAATTTCGAATCTCAAAAGTGGTGGCGCGTACCAGAATCCAAATCCTTGTCAATTACAATGCTCCATGTCGTCATTACTTTTCTTATCGACGCGTATTATGTAATCTCCGATTGATTGTGCCCATCTGGTCTGCAAGGTCCATCTCTCACTTCACTTCTCCATCTCATCATTCATCATTCATCCGAGTTTCCCATCCACAATTCCCATCATTCCTTCCCGAGGCATGTGAGATCTTAGTAAGCTAAATCCCGATCCCGATTCCCTAGGCGAGAAAGGATCAGGCCATTGGTCGTTCCACCGCATGCTAGTCACAGGTTGTCGTCATACCTCGCATGTTCCTTCTCCTCACCACTCTACACTCTTCCTTGGTACTGAGTAGTGTCCTTGATCAAGTACCGCTCCATTCTCTGTTTTTCATTTGTCAAGGGGCGAGGCGCATCAAGATCAAGGAACAATGCTTTTCATACAATATTCCTACTCGCACTGAAGCTCCCTCGCTCCCTCCTAAATACTTTCCCTCAAGAAGGCAAGGTCACAAGGGCACAAAGAACTTCCATGAGAGAACCATATGTAGGTATTTTCCAAATCTCCACTAATCGCCAACATAATACCACACCTGTCTTGGGGGGAAATAACTCACAAATTTCACCTTGTCTACTACACATTGCCTATCAAGATCACCCTCATGCCAATTAATCATCGCCGTTACCAAATCACTTCTTTATCCATATGTTCATGTTAAGGAAATCTCAATTGCAGCATTTCCTTGACTCTTCTGTTCATGACGTTCGTCAATGAGAAAAAGAACGCGGCTAGGAAACAACATCCATATCTCCATGGAAACTTTGCACCTATACATCGCACACAACCTTTGACACCCTGTATCTACACTGGCGTTATACCAAAGGAACTGGCAGGCGGGGAATATGTGCGCAATGGAGGAAATCCAGTGACAAATGAAGAATTGGGTAGGGATGCACATTGGTTCGATGGTGATGGAATGCTCAGTGGTGTAGCATTTCGAAGAGCGGAAGATGGTAGTGCACACCCGTATTTCGTCAATCAATACATCCTTACCGATGCATACCTCTCGAGCATCTCAACACCATCCCTCCGCTTACCTATTCTTCCGAGCATCGCTACGCTCGTCAATCCCGCCTCAACCCTTCTCACAATCATTCTGCGAATATTCCGAACCATTTTCCTCGTCATCCTCTCTAACCTACCTGGATCTGCAAAGGCAATCAAAAAGATCAGTGTAGCAAATACCAGTGTACTATACCATGATGGTAGAGCCTTAGCAACATGCGAGAGTGGACCGCCGATGCGCATTTCCTTACCAGGCTTAGAGACTGTCGGCTGGTACGATGGTATTCGAGCAGAAGGAGAGCCGATCACAGACTCAAAATCTGGCGAAGTCTTTGGTGGAAGTGGGCTCATTGGTTTCATGAAGGAGTGGACAACAGCACATCCTAGAATCGATCCTATCACGAACGAACTTATACTTTTTCATTCTACATTTATTGCACCTTTTGTACATTATTCTATTATACCCAGTACACATCATAATAATTCTCCTAATAAGCTCCCACGACTCGTCAACGCAACTGTCCCTGGAGTCAAATCCGCAAAGATGATGCATGATTTTGGTGTCTCCCTTAGTCATACCATAATCATGGATCTCCCTCTTTCACTTGATCCCATGAATCTTGCTCGTAACGAACCTGTGGTCTCATATGACCCATCCGGAATTTCCAGGTTTGGTGTTTTTCCAAGATGGAAACCTGAACATATTCGATGGTTTGAAACGAATGCCTGCTGCATCTTTCATACTGCTAATAGCTGGGACGAAACTACCACCAATACATCTACCAAAAGCGAGGAAACAATATCAGTTAATATGCTAGCCTGCCGCTTGACAAGTGCTTCACTAGTCTTTAGCGCAGGTGATGTTGCAGCTCCTATCCCGAAAGACAACCCAATGACTGCTCCAATTGAAGAAGAACAATGTCGATTATACTATTATCGATTTCCACTCACCGATACGGAGAATAGTATAAGTCATCAATTTGCTCTCTCATCGATACCGTTCGAATTTCCTTCAATACGCGAATCTTTATCCATGACTGAAGCTCAGTATGTTTACGGCTGCTCAGTATCGGATGGCACATTTGGAGCTGCTCTTGGCCGTGCTGTCAAAATTGATTCACTCGTCAAAGTAGATGTCCTCGCGTTAATCGCTCGTGGAAAAGAGACAAATCAAACCCCCATCACAGGCTGTGTTGATATGCGAACGGTCACTGAAATTCTTGCTTCGAACGATTCAAATGATCCTATTAAAATCTTTAAACTGCCACCAGGTTTCTACGCCCAAGAGTCAAGATTTGTACCACGAGAAAACGGCAGGACAGAAGATGACGGCTGGTTACTTTCTTATGTCTTTGATGAAGCTCAACTTGATGAGCATAATGTTGCAGGCCCTCAAGCAAAAAGTGAACTTTGGGTTATCGATGCGAGGGATATGAAAACGGTTGTATGTAAAATACACCTTCCACAACGAGTTCCGTACGGATTACATGGAGCTTGGTTCAGTGAGAAGGAAATTGAGAATCAACGACCAATAGAAACTATTCGACATCTTCCCTTGAAGAAGAAGAATGTTGGTCACGAGAGTATATGGATGCATTCGTGGATGTCGATCCGGACGTGGCTTTTGGAGAAGATTGGATGATGGTTATGATGGTTCATGATGAAGTTATTCTGTATCAATGCTTTATATACCCTTGAATGTCAATCTTGAAAAAATCTGCCCAGATATTCTTTCGGATCAAAGTAAATAAATAGTGTTCAAAACACCATCCAATCCATCTCTACACGTATTGGTCCAACACAATTTACCTGTGTAGACTCGAATGCTTCATCTCATTAACTTGTAAATCTAGATCCATCGATACCTACCTAGGTACGGGTACTTAACATGAAACGTGATGTTTCCATAGTGGATCATTCTCGGATATTTGTGCTGCTTTTAGATTAAATGTCCGAAACATGTGATGAAAATGAATATCGAGAATGTGAGATGAATATTGTAGGGAGGTTGAGAGGGAGGTGGAGAGGGAAGTGGAGAGGGAGGTGGAAAAGTAAAAGCGGCGGGGGAATGTTTCGGGAGGATGTCACTGTTGTGGTTGTTTTTAGGTGGGTAGGTAGGGAGGGAGGGGAGCACGGGGAGGTAAGGGAAGGTATCTAGGGAAGAAGGGGGAAAAGGGAAGGGAAGGGAAGGCAAGCGGGGATTTGTTTTAGGTTAGATTTGTTTATGCGTTTGGTTGAGTTGGTTGAGTTGGTTGAGTTGGATGGTGTGGGAAGTGTGGGAAGTGTGGTTACCTAGGTACTAGGTAGGTAGGGGATTTGAGGATTTGAGGATTTGAGGATCTGAGGATCTGAGGATCTGGGGATGGATATTGAATGTTAGGTGTTGGATGTTGAATGTTGGATGGGTAGAGAGGGGTTATTTGGTTCTTTGTGGAGTAGATATCTAGTAGGTATCTAAAGTGGGAGGTGGTTAGGTGTCTAGGTAGGTGTCTAGGTAGGTGTCTAGGTAGATATTAGGTAGTAGATATTAGGTAGTAGATATTAGGTAGTAGATATTAGGTAGTAGATATTAGGTAGTAGATATTAGGTAGTAGATATTAGGTAGTAGATATTAGGTAGGGCATAGAAGATGAAGATCTTTTCTTATTCCTCTTTCTAAAATGAATTGAATGGAATTAAGCTTATTTGATGGTTTGGAATTGTATGGTAATTTTCTTAGGTAAGGGGGTAGATATTAGAGATGTTGTGTCTGATTCAATCTCTTACCTATTTGTTTTGTTGCGTCCTCATATAAAATGAGGTCTTCTCCTATTAATAATCGAATAATCGAATGTTCAAATTCTACAACCCAAAGTCGTTGGTTGCTTTTATCCATGCTCATAATAATCTCTTTTACGAAGAAATGATCTTTTTATTATAGAGTACCTACCTATCTACTATAAACACAATACGAGCTTGTTGGTTTTTAACCTTCGTGTCCGTTTCATCTGAAATGCATCAAATTTCCCCACACTCACCACTGTGGTCTAGTTCTTCGTTCCTTTTCAAGGGGCTGTTCGCCTTATCCGCTCGGGAAATCAAAATATATTAATGAATTAATTCGTTTGGAAACATCACGGAATTTTTGTCCACTTGCTTGCTTGTTTGCTTGCGTGCATGGTGTGATAATCTTAGTAGATCACGGCAGGCATTGATGGGTTGGATGGGGCCCAGCGGTAATTGGCTTGGGGGTGTTCGTTCAATCTTCAAATAAAGATGAAATATAATCGCTCTCATTCGTGATGTGAATACTTCCTTTCTGCATCGACCCACCTTCTTTCCTCGTCTTGTCTATTCTAGATCTTTTTTTCCTGGAGAACAAAGTTCTTCGTCGTCGGTCTTTACTACAAATCTATATATCCACGCAATTATGCGTTCCACACTCTTTTATTCCGTGCTTGCCAGTGGCATCACGTCTGCTCTTGGAGATGCGAGCATTTCCACTTTCCCAAACTCTCTCGCTTTAGCTGCGAACTTTGATCCCATCAAGTCGGCCTACTGGACAGGTCTTCCTCACCATCGTCGAACTCCCTTTTCCGTCTCGCCAGATGGAAACTCGGCCTATCTTGCCTACCTCGATAGTACCTATGCGAAAGTATACGTGCAACAAGTTTCCCTCACCGATTTCAGCGCCGTCGGCGAGGCCGTTGCGATTACCGCTTATGAAGCTACCGGATTGGTGGCGCAAAATGATGGGTTTGCCTTGATGGCAACGGTCAATGCGACGGGGACTACTGATCTTCCTACAGATGGATCACCTATCGTGTCGATCATTAGATATACCAATGGTAAGAAGACGTGGGAGACGGCGTTGAATGGTCCAGGAGTTCATCCTTCGGATATGTTGACTTCGACTCCGGATGCTAATGGTGATCTTGTTTATTCCGCTACTGCTGGTCTTTATGCTGGATACTTCGTCGTGGAGGGTATGTATTTTATTCTTCCTCTTTCTGATGAACTGCAAGTTTAACAGATATTTATAGCCTATACTACCGATTATGCTGGTCATTTCGGTGATTCCATCCAATACGTCAATGACGATGGTGTTCTCCAAACTATCTCCGGTGCAAGCAGCAGTTTTGGTTGCTCCCACAACACCGGTATTGGTATCGAAGCTGCAGATGCCGCTCCCTTTGCCAGTGTCTGTGCTGAAGATCAAGGCGATATCTGGTTGAACACCGAAACGCAATATATGTCTGGTCAAAAGATTGCCAACGAGAACACCACCAATGGTGTCAGTGGTGAACCCATGGGTGGTATGTCCGGATCCTACTCTAACTTGGCCTCGATCCCAGGCTCCGATGGATATATCTTCGCATGGCAATCACGCGGTGCTCTCGATCTTACCCTGAATGATTGGATGGGAACCGGATATACGCAATGCTCACCCAGATGGCTCAACCACAACGTCGCCATCTCCGTCATGACGGATAAGAAAACCCTCGCCGCAGCCGAAGCCTCTTCCACCGTGGGCGCCGCAGAAGGCGACACCCAAGTCACCTGGATCACCTATTCCTCCACCGACGATCACCAAAACGTCCACATCGCCGCCGTCAACTCCCAATACTCCATCGTCACCTACGAAACCCTCACTTCCCCAGACTGTCAACCAGTCCCCATGGGTTGCTCAGGTACATACGCCGGTACCTCTTTCCAAGTCATTGACAACACGGGCGCAAAGGTTGGATCTGCCGTCGTCTCCACCGAAGCCTTTGTCAGTGGTGATATCGTCACTATCGGTACCGATAAGGTTTGCTGGCCGTATGTCGATATGACATGGGATTTGAGCACGGAAAAAAGCAGCGGAACTCCAGTCTCGAAAATGTCTTTCGCTTGTGCTACTTTGAGCGGTAACTCGACTACCACTGCTTCTTCTTCTGGTTCCGTAGTTGCTAGCTCCGCTGCTGCTACCATCGCCGCTAGCTCTAGCTCTAGCTCTAGCCCAGCCGCTGCCGTCGTAGCATCCACTTCCTCCGCAAACATCGCTATCGTTTCCTCCCCCGCCTCCTCCTCTTCCTCCTCGGCATCGCCATCCATCGGGCTCTCCGCCTCCTCAGCCGCCGGTCTCGAAATCTCTAGCTCCTCTCCCGCTTCAGCGTCTGCGTCCCTCGTCGCGCCAGTTTCCTCGGCAACAGCGATTGCCACCCCCGTTCCTGCGAGCACCACTCTCGCTACCAAAACGAGAAGCAAGCACACGAAATCTGCGCATACGAAAGTAGCTACTTCGTTGGTGGTGTCGTCTGCGGCGTCGACTTCTACGGCGAGTGGAGAGTCTGCGGGGGAGGTGAGTGGTGCTGTTTGGGTGGATGCGGATGAGTGTGAGGGGGAGGAGGAGGAGGAGTATTAGATTGGAGGGGGGGTTGAGGATGGATGATGGTTGGATAAGGAATGGGGAGATATAGTTGAAGATGAAGTGAAGATGAAGATGAAGCGAGGAAAGGGAGAAAGGGAGAAAGGAAGGGCTAAGGTGGAAATTCATGTTTATATTCTTGTATATATACTAGTTTGTTACGATGGGAAATATGCTTAGGTATTTGTTATACGATATCGATATTTACATCTACATGTGTGTGTTTGTGTGTGTGTGTATCCGCTTTATGATATGAATCTATCCGATATGCAAATATGTCATGTAATGCAATTTGAGGTGTAAATAAACTCATGTCTGATGAAAAGAAAAATCTCACGTCCTGAAATAATCTATATTCTCATTCCGAGTATCCTATGAAATGGATAGAGGATTGGGGTAGAGTGGAGTGGAGTGGAGTCTTCTTCCTCTTCTTCTTCTTCCTCTTAGAAGATGAGAGGATATCATAGAGGAGAATAGTCGAAAGGAATGAAGAGAAAAATGAAGAGAGAGAGCAAAAGAAAAGAACTCCAATAGAGGAGGTATACAGTATACAGATCTCGGAATGCGAAAGCTGAGACGAGACAGGAAAAGAGTTGTTCGGGGATGATTAATTAATTCAATTTGATTCTTAGGGATGTATTGTTTATATGATTCTCCTGAATCTGAGTATTATTGGTATATATGTGCGCACATAACTACCCACGTCTTCGACTTGACATTCTGGGACCTTCTTTTTTTGTGTGAGTAAAAGTTTTGTTTTATATGGTGTTTTTGGAAAAATTTAAAGGAGATGAATTGGTATTTGTGTTGAATGGGATTGAGGTGTGTGTGTATGTATATGTATATGTATATGTACATGTACATGTGTGTATACGTATACATATTCGGATGGAGAACTAAGATAATACCAGTATCCCTATACCATTTAAATGACATACTAAGTAGTAACTAATATACAAACAGCAAGAAACTTCTCTCAAAAGTATGGGATGTAGGAATCGGAAGATGACCTATCTTACTATATGTGTGTATCTTCACAACATCAGTCCACTGCACCACTGCATTATTATTGAAAATTTGATAGAGCCTCTTTTGAGAAGATATAACCTTACCTACTACGAATGCGAAATTCTAAGTACTAGAAATAGAATTTCGTAGGCTGGTTGGTTATTGATTGAATCGCATTTGTATTGTCATGTTTGGGTGTTCTTGGATATATATATATATATATGTATATATACATATACATAAAC